AGCATCGGAGGCGACGAGGGCCGCCGCCGCCGCCGCCGCCGCCGCCGCCATGCCGCCATGACACAGCAGCGCGCCGTCTGCGCCCAAGGGCCGTTGCCTCGGGGGCGACTGTAGCCAGGCCGGGGACGAGCGGCGGCGAGCCGTGGCGCGCGACGGAGGCTTGGGGGGCTGAGGGACGGTCAGGGGTTCCAAGGAGGTGCGACGTGAAGGGCACGGAGAATTGGGTTCGCCGGAGGGCTGCGAACAGGTTTTCCGACGGCTTGCGAGAGGTCAGCGACCGAAGGCAAGGTGGGCCGCCACGTCGTGGTCATACCTCGGGCGAGTGATCCACCTCGTTTGACACAACGATGAGCGCAGAGCTTCCGGCGACAGATGACAATATTCTGAGGATAACTGCCAGATCCTTTGATTCACGCGTCTTACCAGTGCGACGATGACGTAAAACATGCGTGGAAATCCCAGAAATGGAAAACATTGGGCGTTTTTAGACCACTTGGAAAATTTCGGACATAGTTGTTCCAGTTTAGCACGATGGTGTGTAATGACTGTCTTGCATCAAAATGGCTCTGTCCCGACAACATGCGATCGGAAAAGCCATCCGCTAAAGACTTGCAATAGCCATATCCCCGATCGTGTGTTGTTACAACGAACTACATCGCCTAGAGCCAAAGGACATTTGCACACGACTCATCACCGCACCTCCCGAAGGCGACACAATTTTGTCACCTTTCCAGGATCGCGGCTCTTAGATCCCGTTGCTCGCCCTCGCACGGCAGCCCGGCGCGCCTGCTCGCCGCTGCCGGCGGCGCCTCGGCGCGGGTGGTCGGCGCCCGCCGGGCCTCTCACCTGGCTGGGATCCACGGGCGGCGCGCCGCTACCGGCGGCGCATCGCGGCCGGCGGCGATCACCGGCGCGGTCACACACGTCGCCGTCGGCGTTCGACGCCGCGGCGGGCCCACACTGGCGAGCCCGGGGCGCCGCCGCCGCCGCCGCGCCGCCGTAATGCTGTTGGCAGCCGCCGCCGGCCTATTTCGGGCGCGCCCGACGGCCGAATTATGCGTCAATTACTTCAATACGGGCGCCGCCGAGGGTGCGCGCACAGGGCGCCACCGGGGGTGGTCGGTTCCCATCCTCGAGCTTGGTGGAGCTGACGGGCGGGGCTCGGGTCAGATCCGGTCACGGCCAGGCCCATGACTGACCGCCGGCACGGGCCTACGGCGAGGTCCGGCGATCGCGGGCGACAAGAGCGAGGAACCACGGAGCGGAGCTAGCTCTGTTGGAGACTTGCCGCTGCAGGTGTCAAGTAGTATGCCGAACACTTCTGTGTGTCTTGAATCACGTTCTTCCGTGCCCGTCTCACATGTCGGTATAGTCAGGATCCACATAATGGATGTTGCCGATATAGAATATTGTCATGGTTTAGATGGGTGCTTTTGAACGTAAGATGATGAGTACCGGCGAACTTCTCGGAACGAGGAAGCGCATATTCTGTCCGAACACGGAGTCGGCCGGCTTCCCCAGATGTTACAATCAGACACCTGGAAACTGTGACGTCACGAGCCACGGTATCCCGCAAGAATAACGTCTCTAGCCACGGCATCCCGCAGGAGGAAGTTGTCAATCTATTCAGCATTCAGGAGTGCAAGGTCACGACTCCCAGTAAATAGCCCGATGCTATTATTGAGAGTGAGCGATGAGATCGGTTCGCGGCGAGCCTATTGAAAACACAATCGACCCGACTCACATTACAACGAACTGACCAGCAAGCGGACCAACCATTCATCGAGACGGGTTCGGATGGGCTATCGTACACCACACAACCAACACGGTAATCGTCCATCGATCCAGGCGATAAAACGGCAGTGTCAGCCATCGACCACTCTTCGCTGTTCAGAGCCCGCCGCGGAACATAATGCAGAATGCATGTCACCGCGGAAGTCAGTCGCCCAAAAGTTATCAGCGCCGAGATCGCGCCGGAGCCGGCAACATTCAATATTGCACGGCGCTGCTCGGTGTGTCCGCTTCAGGACATCAAAGATGGATGGCCATTTTCTGCCCCACTCATCCTCTCCCGGCGAATGGCCCGGCGACCGCGCCGCGGGGCTTAACTGCGCTGAATGTGTCGACGAGGCTGGAAGGCGGCTTGCATATGAGCTGCGCGATTCAGATATGCCGAAGCTGATCGGGTTTCAAGAGATTGCGCTTGTCAAAGATGCGTTTTGATTTTTTGTTAGCACGAACAAAATTTCGGATGCTATCTACGAGCTTTTTAATCATAGAATATAAAACAACAATATTTTCGGTGACAACACTTCGATAGGTCCAATCCTTTCACTTCCTGGACTCGCGCGACTGTTCAGATCATTATATAATGGACTGAACCCAATATTCACAGCCAGAAGCAAGGACACGGGAACAGAATGGAGTGGGGGCTGGAGCAGTGGAGGCAGTTCGCACCTCCCCCAACTTGAAAGCTGGTTGGGCCTCCCCTCCCCCCCCCCCGAATTGGAGGGCCCGTGGAGGGTTATTCGGGCATGTTAGGGACCAGTTCTGAACTGTAGGATGATTATGTAAGCCTGGCAAAGTCTATTCTGATCTGTCAAAGGCTCTTTTCTGCCCATTTAGGGCTCATTCTGACCAAAAGGGGGCACTTCTGAGCCTGTGGAGGATGCATTTATTGACTGTAGAGGGCAAATTCTGGCCTGTAGATGCCCATTCTGATTTGTAGACGGCCCATTATTGACGGGGGGGGGGGGGGCGTTCTGACCAGTAGAGGGCCCATTCTGGCCTTTAAAGGGCCTATTCTGGCATGAAGACGGCCCATTATGATCTGAAGACTATCCAGTATAAGCTGTAGAGGGTTTATTATTGAATATAGAGGGCCCATTCTGGCCTTAACACAGCTCCTTCTGACCTGTAGAGAGGCCCATGGAGGCTCGTAGAGGGCTATTATTGAATGTGGTTCCCATCATTCTGACCTGTAGATGGCCCATTATTGCCTGTGGAGGGCCAAATTTGGCCTACAGAGGGCCCACTGTAGTCTGCGGAGGTCCCACTCCGTGCTGCGGAAAAACTATTACGGACGCTGGAGGGTCCATTATTCTGGCATATACAGCTGACGATTCAGGTTTGTAGAGGGCCAATTTTTTAATACGAGTACCCACTATGCCTGAAGAGGAGCCATTATTGGCTGCGGAGAGCCCATTATGACCACTGCAGGGCCCAGTATTGAGTGCAGAGAGCCCATTACGGACTGAAGGTCATTCTGGCCTCTGCATGGCCCATTCCTGCCCGTAGAAGGTCCATTCTGGCCAGTAAACAGCTCATCCTGACACATAAGGAGCTCATTCTGACGTAACGAGAGCCAATTCTGATCCGTATAGGTCCAATTCTGACCTGTTGTACCTAGTGAACCCATTCTAACTCGCAGGGGGCTCAGTATTGACTGTGAAAGGCCTATCTTGTCGTTAAGACGGCCCATTGTGATCCTATGTGACCCATTCTGACCTGTAGAGGGCCCATTATCGACTTAAAAGGCACATTCCGGCTTGTGGGGCTCACTGCCTAATCCTAGCGGCATCTTTTGGCATCTTGAAATTTGCCCCCTCCCAACATGAGCATAGTTCCCACGCCCGTAAAGCCAGAAGGCCAACTGAAAATAGATAAATGCAGTTGTTTAAGACGTGAACTTAACAAGCCATAAAACAGACGGAGCACCATGCAAAAGTCTACAGCACCCAAAGACGGTGGATTTGCTACGCATGGGGTCATTCCGGTCAGGTGCTCAGCTATGTGCGACGAACCAACGACGGTTCCTCTTGTGGGGACGGTACGTCCGCTCCATCTGTCCGTTATGACATCGGAGCAACCTATTAACGTGCTCGTCCTTAGCGGTATCTGCCATACCATATTCAGTCATACATATCCTATATCATGGGCCAGAACTGTAGGTATCGCGTATCACCACCTGCGAGCGCCGGCCTCGGGGAGGCCTACACCTTCAGCAAGATGTGCTGGCGCCGTCGCCTTACCGGCAGCCCGGCAGCGGGCCGCCGGTAAGCGGCGTCTGGAGCGGGCTGTGCTGGCGCCGCTCGACAGCGGGCCGCCGGTAAGCGGCGTCTGGAGCGGGCGGCCGGCCGTCCAGCAGCCGGCGGCCACGGCCCCAGCGTTCGGCCGTCGAGCCGTCGGTAGCGATGACATCAGGCGGCCAGATCGGGGCCGGCTGCCAACACAGACCTCAAACAGCAAACAGCGCAGACGGCCCAGCCGGTCCAGCCCGCCGGCTCGGCCGCGGCGCTCCGCCCGCACGGCGGGCCTCCTCGTCGTGATCGGTCCGCCGGCCCGGCCAGAGGGCCCCGCCGGTGCGCTGGGCCTCCTCGTCGTGGTCGGCTCGCCGGCTCGGCCGCCGGCCCCGCCAGTGCGATGGGTCCTCTTGCCGCAGTCGGCTCGCCGGGCAGGCGGGAAGGCCCGCCAGTGCGATGGGCCCCTTCGCAGCGGTCGGCTCGCGGCTCGAGCAGAGGGTCCCGCCAGTGTGGTGGACCCCCCGCCGCAGTCGACTCAGCAGCCGCAGCGCGACAGACGCCGGTGTCTGATGACTGACAACTCCTGGTGTTGTTGCTGCAATTGGTACTTGAGAGACATTGGAAGCTGAAGGTAAGCACTCACATAAACCTGAACATATTTGGATCGGAGTTATATGAAGCCACAAATGAAGGCACATGCTTACACAAATGGGGACGCACCTCGGTGTAGCGTGCATTTGATACACTACACCCATTGATCAGCATATCACGCGTGCCTCTGGGTATGTTCCACAAGCATCCGAGCTGCCTGGCCCCGCTGAAGGCTGCGGATCAGTTTGTGATGGCCTAGTACCACATACTGCTTGGTGATAAAGAAGCCCTTTTTATAACGAAGGGTGAATATCTTGGCTGATATATCAGGATTTGATAGCATTGTTTTATTCTTAACCTCCCGTGCATGCATGCATTATTTGTACCCATAGCTTCCCTCCGCCGACAACAAAGTATAAAGCTTGCCAACTGCACGGTTCAACCACCTTGTCACAGCAAACAGTGCTAAAAACACAACACCATGAAACAAACATGCACGAAATGATCTTTGCAGGCTAGTCTTAAGTCACACCGAGATACAGTGAACAAGCACCTAATGAGCGCAGCAGATTGCCCAAGTTCACGCTGAGCACACTGTAAAGCACAGGAACGCAGCCTCCAAACACTAATAGGTCTGCGTGGTCAGCGGCAATTTACTGACCTCAGCCAACAGTACATGAATATAAAACCCGATTTTTCCAGATCGCGTCGCGGTATCCAGCTGCTGGTTCGCCCGTGGTGGTGGCACGTTCAGTGGCTGAACTCGGAGTGGTAGGCGGTGCAGATGGCGCGCAGGCCGCAGGCGGCGGCGCCCAGCTGGCGCAGCGCCGTCCGGTACTGCTGCACCATCAGCCCGTACAGCGCCGGGTTGGCCACTACGCTCAGGTTGCAGAAGCAGAGCGCGAGCAGCTGCAGCTCCGCCAGCGGGCTGGCCCAGCGCTGGAAGTCACACGTCAGCAACGCCTCCGACACCACCGCGCCAACCACCAGCGGCAGCCAGAACAGCAGGAACACCACGATGATGAGCACCGCGCGCGCCGCCATCTTGCCCTCCATCTTCTTCCTGCCGCGCAAGCGTGCCTTGCTATTCATGACGCAGACGGCGCCGACCAGCCGGTGCTGTCGCGTGGAACGCGCCAGCGACACATTGCCGTCGATGTCAACAGCCGGAACGGGGGCGACGGAATCGTCGACAGATGTCAGCTCGAGCAGCGGAGGTCGCCGACAGGAGCGGCGCAGGTGCGACGAGACGCGGCGCACAGGTGCGGCCTGACCCACCGAGTCCTCGGCCTCGGCCGCCTCGCCATCCGAGTCGTCGATCAGCGGGATGCCGTCGAAACTGAGCGGTCTGCCGCCAGGGGCGCTGTCAGCGCTTGTATAGGTAGCGCTGTTGCAAGTGACGTTGCTGACTACGGACGAACCGAGCGGCCTGCCGCGGTCGCCACCGCTGGGTTCGTCCACGCCACTGTCTGAGTCTGCTGAGGCCAGCCGTGGCGCTATTAAAGGCGGGGATCCTGTGATGGGCTGCTTCAGCTCGGCATCGGCGGCCTCGCCGAGAACAGAGAGGTCCGGCGACGTCAGCCGGCCGGGCATCGGCGCCTCCGGCTGGTTCAGCGGAGTGCCGGCAGATGGTAGCGTGTGCAGTTCGGACACCACACTGAGTCGAGTCTGGGCGACGCTCTTGCGACGCTGGCGAGATGGGAAAATCTGCAGTCGTTTCAGGGAGAGCCAGCGTGGTCTACTCGCCGGAGTCCGATTGGTTTCCAGTCCGTTGGCGAACAATATCGAGCTGGAGCGCGAGACTGGTGCTGATGACGGGAATAGAAAGCTCAGCCTCCTTCCACCAGCGGTTGATGGCGGCGTAAAAGGCTGCTCCACGGCCTGCTGTGTTCTCTGCGCAAGCGTTTTGTCGTTCATCTTCTTGACGTGCTCCTTGATCTCTAAGTAAATGCGTAGGTAAAACGTGCCTGCAATCGAGATTGTGCATGCATCATGACCAGCATCGAGAGATCGTACCCTGTGGATGCAGAAGTTTAAAGATCAGCTGGTGACATGCTAAATGGCTATCATCCTTCCTAAAGGCTGGATTTATGCGCAGTTGTTATGCTGAACGCACTGAAACCACTCGATAATTTGATCCGATGCCAGCGCAGATCGAAACAGCAAGCCAGTTGGTCCATTTCCACCACATACACCACTATGCAGCGGAGGAAGCTATTAACGGGAGTCACGCACCAATGATCACGATGTTGATGGCGCCGATGGGGAAGTGCAGGAGGCAGAAGGTGTTGGCGAAGTGTGCGCCCAGCTGGCGGCCGGCGCAGAGGGCCGTGACGGCCGTCTCCGGGGAGAGGCGCACGTCCGCCAGCCCGCAGGTCACCGCCGCCGACCAGACCAGGCCTGCGCCAGCGCCGGGCAGGCCACGGCTGGTCAGGTCACATGGAGCCGCCGGGAGACATCAAAACCACGTGTGGGCGGTGCCGGAGTTCGGGCCCGGCTGGCTTCAGGCGTACGGGGCAATAGGCGGGACGCGGCGGTCGCAAGCGGGCAATGGCAGCGATCGGCACACTCTGTATGACCGCACGCAACTGCTCAAGGAACCTCTAACATGATGGTGAGGCGTGGATAGGTGTTATATGGAGTTTATGTAGTCGGGGCCGGGAGCGCGTTCGGTCCGATGGCTCACACGCGGCCCCGACAGTCTGATGGCTCACACGCGGCCCCGACAGTCTGATGGCTCACACGAGGCCCCGACAGTCTGATGGCTCACACGCGGCCCCGACAGTCTGATGGCTCACACGCGGCCCCGACAGTCTGATGGCTCACACGCGGCCCCGACAGTCTGATGGCTCACACGCGGCCCCGACAGTCTGATGGCTCACACGAGGCCCCGATACGATCTGACGGTGTCAAAGGCCCCGGCACGGTCTCACGCATGATAATGAGATGTACAAATAGTCATAAACTGATCCGAAGCAGCCGAACCAGTCCTGAACGATTGCGGTGCAGCTCCGGTCTCGGGACCGCCTACAAGTCTCAGGCATCAGAGACAGAATCCGACCCAGTCTGATCCGAGCGAAGTTCTTCCTACCCAGCTCTATCCTGAGGCGTTGCCCTTGATTATTGGTCGTCTTGAACGGGTAGGCCACACAGTGGAACCTCTCGTAGCTGATGGCAGAGAGCAGTCCCAGCTGACAGGTCACGCCAGCCGTGAAGGTCACTGTCTGAAGGTCACAGACGATCGCTGGTAGCGCCTGCGGGCAGATTGGACCACGCGCTAAACGAAGAACGGAAACTTCGACACGAACGCTTATGTTATTCTGTCGGCGCTAAATAATGTTATGTTAGGTTAATCTGGCATGCCTGTTGGCGCTAATGCAGGATAATGGAAGCTCTCCCAAAGTTTCAATGGATAGGCATGTTTGGTTATTTGTTTCTAGTTAACGCCCATATAGGGCTAATGCTAAATTGTACAGAGGTGCGTGGGATGGGGGAGCGGAGAGGGCTGAGCCCTCGGCTCCTCTAGTTTCAGTTCCCTTGTTATTTTGTTATACGATTGAAGTTAAGGCAACTCGTCTATGGTGCCTACTGACATAAGACAGAAACGTACAATTTCTTTTCAATCGGGTATTTGTGCCCGAGTATATATTTTTGTTGTATTATAGTACTTAAGCATTTTTGCACCTTGTTCTTTCGGATTCGGAAGCCGATGGCAATACCGTTAACTTGTGGCCGACATCCGTTCCCCTTTACTTAACAACTTTAATGAACATATAGCGTATTGTACGTGGTCAAATGAAAACATACTCATTGCGCATGTGTCGCAATTTAACAACTGCCCTCTTGTGAGAGACGGTCGGCCTTTCCTGTCCAGAGCGGCCAAAAGTTATCGAGCCCTCAACACACCATGCATTTTGAAATGCCAACTGGTCGTGAAGGAAGTACCTTTTGGCAGAACCTTATGAGGTAAAAAAGCATAGTGATGATGCGTAGCTGATAATATGTCGCGAGATACAAAAGGAGAGTTGATACGTTGTGTTTGAGCGATATCTACGCGTTTGCCCACTTAACCATGGTAATATAACCATGCACGCCTAGCTTGAGTTTTAGTCGTTCCAACATCTGTGTATTCGGTTTTGAGAGTCGCCCTCCTATGCACATCCCTGTGTTCATTTTGTCCAATAATTAATATCGACATGTCACATAAATGTGCCATTGCATCAAATGGGCGGAGGGTTAAGGCGTGACGACTGCCACCCGTGAGGGCCCTGTGCGGCGCGGGACGAGTGAGGTGAGGGGCCCTGTGCGGCGCGGGCGAGTGAGGTGAGGGGTCCTATATGATGTCGGGTGAGCGGTGTGAGGAGTCCTATATGGCGCGGGGCGAGCGAGGTGAGGGCCCTGTACGACGCGGAACGAACGAGGCGATAGAAGATGTGATATCTATCAAGTTAGTACGTTTGAGTTACCATGTAAATGGTGACACGAGATAATGGAACCAGCGACTTTCAGTAGCCGATACCAATGGGTTTAATCAATGCGTTGCAAAGCCTATCTTTTGCAAACATTTCACGAGCGGAGTTTTACTAAGTATCATTTCCACGGTAGCTCATAAAGCGCATTGCTTGAAACTGACTGACTTTGAGTCTGGTCAGCTCGTTAGCTAGCCTTGGACAGCTGTAGCATTTCGTCTAGACGGAAATGCTGAGTTTGCTTTTTTGCAGTTTTGACATTATTGCCAAAAAGCTTTGTGAAAACGGCCATAATTTGGGTGGATATTGATCACGATAAACAGACCTGTACTGCTTTGTAATTTTAGTTTCACGCCCCGTGCTTTCTACGTTTTGGTCGCAGCATCTCGTACTCCAGGCCGCTTTCCGAATAGGTGCATTGGTCGTTTTCCGGTGGATTACTGGCGCAGCTATGTGCCAGACATTTTGAGATGCGTTTGCAGTTTGCAGTCGTTGGATTGCCTACACCGTACGGTCGGCTTCCAGACTTGTTTTCCGCTGTGGTAGCTGAGACCTATCATCTATCCGTAAAATGTCTTGAAACGAGAGGATCCATGTCCTGCGCACGATAGTACGTGCTTGCCTGCACATATCGATGAACTATTTTGTCCGTTAGTGTGAGTCAGTCTCGCGTCACTGCGACGCAAAACTTCAAAATTTTGACCCGGTTTCGACGCACGTTCTTCGGCTTTTCGCAACCTGAAGATAATAGCTTTACGAAACAGATGCAGTTTCGCAAAACGAGTGCGGGGGGGGGAATAATAGCTTAACCTGTCCCCAAAATGCGGCAAAAAAACGGTTTTCCTCGGATTTGATCCATGTTGTTCTCAAAGTTGGGGCCGGCGTGGTGGGCTGAAGATCCCAAACTGATGAGGATATGACACCCCTACTTTACAATTTTAGTTGAATGGAAGGTTCCCACCTCGAGCATATTGCAATGTTGTAGAAAATCTTTGCTCCTTTTTAGTAACTAGCATGGGAAGCGAAATACTTTAAAATTACGAAGGAACTGATAAAAACTGGCCGGGAATAGTTAAGATCTCAGCGACCAGGGGTGACAGTGATATGAGACTTATACTGACAGTGCAAATAACGGACAATCGTACGGGAAAAGTGTGCGCTGGTGTGGGCTGCTATTATGCGCTATCGTGAGTAGACCATGGACCCTCCAGTTTCGTTCTAAGGTTTGGTGTTAGATTTAACCAAATGAGTATATCACAACGCAAATCCAACCGCAAGATGTATGCGAATGTACTGACTGCAGTTCGCTAACACAGTGAGACCTTTAAGACAGGCCGGGTTCGCTGGCCCGCCGTTAGGCTTGCTGGCGATCGACCGGAATGTCAACAATACCACCTCTTCGAAGCCGATTTAGAATATAACACGTCGTGGTCTAAGCCGAGAGAGACCGTGACATGACAGCTACACAACGGTGCAATCACGATCATTGCGCCCAATACCATCCAAGATATTTGCGTGTTTCGGAATGATGTAGTTACAGTGGCAAGAACTGAGCATATGTTTCAACTAATCGGTTTCATTGATTGACATTGCCAGGTGTGGCAAGAATCACAGCCGGTTTTTCAAGGGCAGACTGTTTGTGAACTTGTACACAGACGCTAAACATCAGCTTATCTCTGCTTACTTACACATGGCAGGATATTCCCATGGATAAATAGATATCATTCGTTTGAGTTTTAAGAGGCCATGGGCTTCATTCGCTATTATTTTGGCATTATCCACACTGTGACAGCAATCACGTTTGCAACCACGTTACTCGTGTCACGCTGCAATGAGCGTCTTTCTAGTATGTTGTGCTACTTGGTACCGAAAATTGCAGGGTGGTGTACCAGTGATTGTAAAGATAGAAGTCCACGAAAAGTACGCTGGCCTGGGCCTGGGCACCACATCCAATCCTGGATAGATGCTGCCTCCAACGGCTAGAGAGCAAGCGTGCTGAGAAGTGCGCATGATATACTAGATATTGTCATTGTCTATACGGAAGGCATGTACGTAGCTGTCAATAATCATTGGAAGTCATATTGGCAATCGCACCGTCCATTGCAGAATGTTGTAAAATATTTACATGTTTCTTCTATGGGGAAATTTTCAACCGGCATTCGCTCGTCAAAATTGAAGCTAGGGCAGGGAAAATTTGAAAGCAAGCCGAAACGCAGCATGACGTGCGCAAATTTGCTACCTGCCGGTTGGCAAGCTCAGCCTGCCTGTCCGGTGAATTGGTGACTACGGTCAGCATGTCAGCCCCACCTGTCCCGCAGAGGTGGCTCCCAGCACGGTTAGTATGCCAGCCCCACATGTTCCGAAGAGGCGGCTACCAGTACGGTCAGCATATCAGCCCCACCTGTCCCGTAGAGGTGACCACCAGTATGGCCAGCAGCAAAGGCACGTTGGTGGCGGCGACACCGACACCAGTCAAGCACAGCTGCAGCACCAGCTGGTTGGTGTTGGTGCGCCGCAGCGGTGGTGTCCTCAGGATAGCAAAGGTCAGCAGAAAGTTGCCTGTGAGAGAAGGAGAGATGCCGCCATGGCCATATCCGCCAACGACGGATGGTCAGTCACGCTGGAGAGGTCATGTTTGCTGCTTTTGCTACGCAGACTGAGCTCACGAGACTGGAGGAAAAACGACAGAGGAGGAGACGGAGTTGGCATGTCTCGATTTACTGCCGTAGCATAAATGACGCATATGCATCATAAAAAATACCAAGCACGGAAGCGAGCAGGAACTACTAAACTCGATTTCTTCCACTGGAAGGAAAGATCAGATGTCACCATAAGCGCGAGGTGCTCGTTCCGCCTCTCCGGTGTCCCACCTCAAGCAAAAGGAGGTCATGCCATGCAAGCAAAAGGAAGCCATGTGTGGCTGCGATGACACACAGGTGTTTTTGAGCGCTCGGTACTCACCGACCAGTCCTCCGGCGCAGCTAGCGCTGGACATCAGAAGACAGAGCAGCGACGCGGCTGCCGACGGCGTCCAGCGGCGCTCCTCGACGAACGAGTACGCCACCGGCAGCGAGGTCGCGTTGCAGTCCATGGCCGCGCTGCGGCCGGCCGGCCGCCGGGCCGGTCGCCCTCTCGTACCTGCCGCGGGTGCTGACGTCCACCTGCGACGCCGGCGGCCGGGGGCACGGTCGGAGCGCCGGGCGAGGGAGCGCTTCCCGGCTGGGGGCGGAGCGGCGCGGGCCGCGGCCAGTGTCGACGCCGCTCGACGTCGGCCGCGCCCGCCGAAGCCGACGATAGCGCGTCGACGGCGGCTATCTTATCGTGTCCAGCTGGCTGTTTGTGGCCGGTGTGGACACGGCGGCCGCCCTATTTGGCGCCAGGTCATTACTGAACGCGTCCGTATCGACTGCAGGCGTCGGGCACGTGCTCACCCTACACTCCCATCCCTCGTCAGGAGCGGAGCCAGGGCCCGGCGAGTGGAGGCGTGACGCCAATCTTCAGCTCGAGCTTCCCTCATCGTACGTGGAAGCTCGCCACACTTTCCAATTGTTTTTCTCGACGGGCGTGACGCCGCACTTGAACGCGCTGGTGACGCGCCTGACCATCGCCCCGCTGACGTGTGCTCGGCCAACTCCGGCGGAGGCGGACAGGCACGAACGGCTTAAGCCCGCTTTGACGGGCGGGGCCGCGGCCGGCGCCGCTCCGTCCCGGGGGAGCGAGCCCCTGTGATCTCCGCTGATGGGGATGGGACGAGCGGCTGCGTGCCGCACGCAATGCGCTGAGCCCAACCCTGATCACAACGGCGTTCCCGCTCATCCGGGGCTAAGAGGCGAAGCGGGCCGCCCGCTGTCCGACAATATCACTGAGGCGATTTCGGCACTTTAATCAGTTTGTGGTGATTAGTTTCGGGCTCGTTGTGTCTGCGGCTAAAGGGCAGGTCGTTTCGGGCGTGGTGTGCAATAATGTGATCACAAAGGCTTTCAAATGGATGCGCTTGCTAACACCTTGACGGCTGAGTTGTTTATTTTTTATAGACTGGTACGGGATAAATGTTTCAGTAATATGTACAAGCTGTGGATCGTAAGAGCAAACACATCACACAAAATAGGATGTCTGGCATGACAGTGACCTTTTGTTTAAATTGCCTCGTGATGGTTTGAAGATAGTCCTAATCTCGACGCAACCGCGGCCTGCCAATCTCGACATATTTCGCGTATACGCCTTCAAACCGTGATAAGGCCGGTGCTCCAGCAACCGCCATTTCCGATCGCGTGGCTCGCAGCTTTGATCCTCACGCAAATGTCCTGGAGGAAGGCAACAGAGAAACGTCTCAGACGCGGTGCTGGTGCTTCAGGCACCTTTCGGTGGCTTTCGAGAGTCGGCAGAAACGCTCCGAGGAAGCGCATTGCACTTAAAGTTGATCAAATGAGCAAACTCAGACTGTTTGAAAGATCTGTCACACGACTGGCAGAAGTCATCAGCAGATGGACGCATTAACAATGCACGTCCGCATGCACACGCAAGTGCGCTGGCGTCGCCAAGCACTTGTTCGGTGCGTGCTTGAAGACGTGACCTACAGCTGTCAGAGCGCGTGCTGTACTGATACCGGTGCATTGGTCGTGACGCATCTGTTGCCGTGAGTCCTATCGGGTTCGTCCACTGAGGTCCGACGACCACTCGGACCCGCAGCCACACCCGCGCCGTCCCCCTGCCCCCCTCCCCCCTCGTGCACGTACAGACATGACAAGCGCGGGGTATTCGCCCAGACATCCGGGCCAGGCAACGCTCACTTCGTTTGGTCAACCTGCCGAAGGGGCAGACAGAAACGGCTTGGCCGTATTTGGCTTGGCCTTGGCCTCATGCTCTGGAAACTCAGCGGAATAACCCAAAGGTCTGCATTTCCGTGGTATGTGTATTGACCCGGCCACATTGCCTGTACCCCGTGTCCCAGCTGCCGGTGGCGAGCGGCGCCTCGGTGAGTGACCTTGGCGGCCGGAAGAGACCGCTGGGGCAGAGTGCGATGTGATGCTGGAGACTGCGGGTGAACGATGACGGAGGCGCTGACTCGGTGTTCCGAGGTGGTGCTGTTTCAGACGCTGATGAAGCAGGAATTGGTGAAAGATGCCGGGTCGAGAATGTCGGACACAGCGGAGTAGGTGGCGGCCACGCCCCCGACCGTAGCGATCAAGATGATCTCCGACAGCAGAACCTTTTCCCAAAGAGGCACCTCGCTGGAATGGAGAGGACGGTTTGCCCAGTAAAATAAAGCTACGGTATGATATACCCCCCCCCCCATATATATATATATATATATATATATATATATATATATATATAGGTTTGATTCAAAATAACTGCTGACTCAGCATTAACGAGCTTTTTGATGCATCGTTCTAGCTTCCGGGCCTTTGACTTTGCGTCATCGCTTAGATTAAAGATGGTTCGTACAAAATTACTCATATATTCATCACTCCTTCCATTCTAACGTTTCGAGATCTTATCTCATCTTCGGAGAAGACTAAATTGCACAAGAAATAAGTTTTGAGTTTTAAAGGATGAAAAAATTGTGCACTACTGTTGGAAAACATCTTTTAGTACGGAGAACATAAATGAAGCACAACTAATTGAAGTAAGACGGATTGCTATTTTCATCTTCATACATGTAAGAAACACTCATAATGGGAACATCACAAAGACACAATGGGAACACTATTGTCACAATCACATCGGAAGTGCTCACTGCCCACCACCTAGTAGCTCAAGAGTTCTGCAAGAATTTGTCTGTCTGTTTAAGGCCGGAGAGAGTTCGTTAATGAATATGCTTTCCCAAATTTGAAGACGTCTTCTGTCACTGCACGTCCGTAAAATGTCAGTGCTGTCTGTCAGTTGTTGTCGTGTAAATGTCATGTCGTGTTCCTGTCGCATGTGGTCCAGGGGTGCCCCGTCACGTAAGTGCATTGTCAGGCGTCGTGAGAGTGTCGTTGTGGTCACACCAATGTAGTGTGTGGGACGAAGTTTGCAGCCAGCCCTTCGTCCCACACACTACATTGGTGTGACCACAACGACACTCTCACGACGCCTGACAATGCACTTACGTGACGGGGCACCCCTGGACCACATGCGACAGGAACACGACATGACATTGACACGACAACAACTGACAGACAGCACTGACATTTTACGGACGTGCAGTGACAGAAGACGTCTTCAAATTTGGGAAAGCATATTCATTAACGAACTCTCTCCGGCCTTAAACAGACAGACAAATTCTTGCAGAACTCTTGAGCTACTAGGTGGTGGGCAGTGAGCACTTCCGATGTGATTGTGACAATAGTGTTCCCATTGTGTCTTTGTGATGTTCCCATTATGAGTGTTTCTTACATGTATGAAGATGAAAATAGCAATCCGTCTTACTTCAATTAGTTGTGCTTCATTTATGTTCTCCGTACTAAAAGATGTTTTCCAACAGTAGTGCACAATTTTTTCATCCTTTAAAACTCAAAACTTATTTCTTGTGCAATTTAGTCTTCTCCGAAGAAGAGATAAGATCTCGAAACGTTAGAATGGAAGGAGTGATGAATATGTGAGTAATTTTGTACGAACCATCTTTAATCTAAGCGATGACGCAAATTCAAAGGCCCGGAAGCTAGAACGATGCATCAAAAAGCTCGTTAATGCTGAGTCAGCAGTTATTTTTAATCAAACATGTATCAAAGAAAGAATTCTGCCAAAATATTCCAATATATATATATATATATATAAACACGGTTTATCTATAAACACGGATATACAGATGCGCAGGCATGCATGCTTTTTCGTGTGTTCTCCAGTTACTGAAGCTTTCAACTGACTCTGAGACCGATGAATGGCGTATCGTAATGGCGTATCGCGTAACCCTGTTCACGCGTATCAACGCCAAGGACACTCGTGCGCATCAGTGTCAGTGCGGTGGTGACGCCAGATAGCAGGGTTAAAAATTTCGATATCTGGACACACCTTTGACAGAATCTTGGGCTAGTCTCAATACTTTTAACCCAAAATCTTGAATTAATCTGACTCGGCATGCCTAAGTTGCCAAGATTTTGGTGATTTTATGTGTAGAGCAGTGGTGATTATATATATATATATATATATATATATATATATATATATATATATGTGTGTGTGTGTGTGTGTGTGTGTGTGTGTGTGTGTGTGTGTGTGTGTGTGTGTGTGTGTGTGTGTGTGTGTGTGTGTGTGTGTGTGTGTGTGTGTGTGTGTGTGTGTGTGTGTGTGTGTGTGTGTGTGTGTGTGTGTGTGTGTGTGTGTGTGTGTGTGTGTGTGTCTTAGAAAGACACATCACTCACGATGGTCATGTTATCCAGATAGTAGTGCTGTGATGAACCACTGAGTGAAGCGCTAATAAAACCTATGCATTTTTAAAGTCCCCTTTACACTCTAATGTTTTGAGGTAAAGCACGTCGTCCATGGTGGATGCCAAAAAACCTCCAACTTCTGGAAAAATGCAAACGCTCACCATGCACCATCACATGCATTAGCCTGCTAGAAGGATCATGCTAAGCCGGCAATAGCCAGAGGATCCCGCCTACCACGTGGCTTACGTTTGCTCCCACTTGCTTTCTGTGCTCTTCATGGACGTCAGCCTCAGGTACATGATGGGCGGCAAGATAAAGGTCATCAGCGTCAGCGTGCTGCCTCCGATCAGGTTGAGGACCTTGCCAAAGCTGGGCACCGTCTCCCCGATCAGCACGTTCAGTACCATCATAGCTGTGCGGAAGAGCGCGCGACGCACGTTGAAGTCTGTGGGGCAAATACGGCTTTGTCTGTACGGCTCCCAGTGGTTTCACCACCTTCCACAGTCCGCGTTGAGCACGGCGGGGACTATGAGCTATCTCCCTCCTGACACAAAGTCAAGCCAAACTGATAGTCTCAGCTGCTGTTTTTAAGCATCGCTGTTGTCTCATTTTGTTGGGAAACTTGTATATCTCCCGAGGAGCGGATGTGCATGGGTATCGTAAATGCATCGGTTATGTAGCGTAAGATATTGCATTTCTCCCGAACCATGGATATTTAAACAACGTTGACGTTTACCTGCCAGATGAACGATTCATCTGCTTCTTAAGAAGCACTAGTCCGGCGACCAGCCCCAACCTCGCACTTGGCAAACGACCGCGGACGATCACTACAACGGCGACCTCTAGTGATCCGCGTCACCCTATGCATTCGTGGCAAGGTGGGACAACTTCGCAGACTCAACGTGACCCAAATTTTACAATCGACCAAATGGGCCGCCCCGGTGATACGGTCTGAGTGACTTAAAGGGAACGCGTTGTGTACATGATTTCCGAATGAACCAGTTGCATTTCGGTATGATTTCATTCATTTGCGAGTCGAAAGGGCTGTCTCACTTGACGGGATGCCAATGCTGTCCTCCAGCTGCTGGTAGACGGGGCTGATGACGCTGACGAGCGACGTCGTCAGGTTCAACATGAACAACACCTGAGCAGCGCTCCTGAAGAAACTGTTGGGCGTCAGCGCGTTGATGAGGTCAGGCTTGAGTTGGTCGCCCAGCGCCAGGTAGCCCAGCAGCGTCATCGGGAAGTACATGGTGATCAGACCTGGCGGGCAGGCAGCCGCCAGCGGTCAGGCAGGTGTCGTGACAGAACCGACCTCCAGCCTTGGATTACCAGCGCCGCGGCCTTGCAGCGACAGATCGCGAGCGGGTCCGGCACGTGGTCTCCGCAGTTGACGGGCTCCCAGATACTGCGCCGCAATGCTGCCGTGCCGTGCGGGCCGGACATCCGCTCACGCGGGACGAGCATTCGACGGTCGCGGAGTAGAGAGTACAGCATGTCCCCCGTTCAGCAACCACTCAACATTCGGTGCAGTGTTCGCAATTAACGTGAGCTCCAGCGTAACACAATATTGCTTGAACACCTTATCAGCGGCAAGAATTCTCAGCACCGGGACGACAGTAGCTGCACTGATCGGTAACTTTTATAACATAAAACTTCCGATCAGACGTTTTCAGCACTACCCCTCTGCGCTACATTAAAGGGAATGTTTCACATTTGAAAATGTCTAGCCAAACATCAGATATGACGAAACAAGCCCACTTAAAACTATCGGTATGCGTTGTAAGTGGAAAGGACTGCTCTAAGCAGCGCAATGCTCTGTTTAGTAAAGACATTCCACAATGCGTCATGATTTGATTACGTCGTCGTACCGTACACAAAATTGATTGAAAGCGAATCGGCGGCCGCTGTGCCTGGGAGTCGTGCTCATGTACGCCAGATATGAACGCCTCGGCATTTATATTTGTCCCGGCCTTGATCGCCGCATGGCTTATGAAATGTCAAGATTTAAATGGTATTATTGTGACGTCATGAATGCCAAGGTGAATTTAATTTCCTCACCGATATACCCTTCCCCATTTTCGGATATACCGTTGCGAGATATATTCCGATTCCGACATTTCTCACCGAAATATACCATTCCCACAGGATATAACTAGAGGGGCTTAGATCTTAAGAGGGCCAGAATTGTGCTCCAAGATGGCTATTTCGGTTAAAAACCCATATAAATGAGGAATATTCCCTTTAAGTGTAGGCAGGTAAGAGTTAGCACGGCGGGGAGTTAGATGTAGAGAGTTAGATGAGTTAGATGTACGACGCTTGCACTATGTTAGTCAATGTTGCATTGACGAACTGACCCTCCCTTTAAGTGTAGGCAGGTAAGGCAGGAGTTAGATGTACGACGCTTGCACTATGCTAGTGAGTGTTGCATTGACGAACTGACCCAAGTAGCCGAACAGCACGCTGGTGCCGAATTTGGAGCGGTCGGCCATGTCGTTCTGGATGGTCGGGAAAGAAGAGGCGCCGCCGAAGGCGAAGAGGATAGTGGACATGCCGAGGAAGAGAGTGCCGAACGTCGGAGATACGTGGGTGGCGCTGACCACCGTCTCGGAGTAGTGCATGCTCAGGTGGATGATGATGCAGAACCAGGCTAAGACGGTGGACACCAGAGCCGTCACGCCGATGAACCTGTGGCAGTTCAAGGCAGACAACCACCGCTAGTCACAAGTGGTGGGCGGTCAGAGCGCACACGCTACTTTATTACCAAATGAAAGTGTGAAAGGTCTGCAAAAAAGAGGTTATTCGGAAGTCTACAATCTTGCTGTGCAGGCAAATGTTACAGAATGTGCCCATCCACGGCTGAATCGAAAATATATAAGATATATGCGTTTATAATATATATATATATATATATATATATATATATATATATATATATATATATATATATATATGCGTTTAATTTACCCAAGCATTCAGGCCCGTGTCTGAGCGGGAACATATTTCCACAGACACACCCACATTCGTCTTCATGAGACATCTTTAACAGGGGGAGAAAGGTGCAAACCTGTGCGATCACTCTCCTAGGTTGTAAGCGATCACTGACATCAAAAGGTCAAGACTGCTAACCGCCAGACCACATTTTCATCATATATGTGCATTTGCCTGTGCGTGAATCATATACATAGATCCCAGACACCGTACGATCCTAAAAGAAATGTAATCTTTGTTCTAGATCCTGGACCTTCCCGAAGATCGCGGGTCTTTCCTGAAAAAGTATAAAGAGTTCTCCTGTTGCGGGACAATCATTTGGAAAATAAAAGCACGCAAAAGACCAAAGCGACCCGAATCCGACTCCGTGTTTCCTCAAAAATCTCAAGATTGAGCTCAAAACCATAGAACAATGGATCCTGGAAGCCCCCTAAGACCATACGGCTATTGAAAAATTCTGACTTGCGTAGGATATTTCAAACTGGCCACAAATCATGGGGCTGTTTTATTCAGGACAGCCCGCATGAAACTAATGTGATGAAATCAGGTCGCAAAAATTCGGCAGCTAGCAACTACGTCGAGGCCTTCGGGCCTTGAGGGCTTAGTGATATGAACAGCGGGTAGGAGTTCGACAACCTACTGCCGGATGCGCAGCATCTAGTAAAGGTAATGTTCAGATTTGTAAAGTGACACAACCCAAACGGCCTGGCTTTATTTTGCGTGAAAGAAAGTTTGAAAAAAATGCGTGCCAAATGGATTTTGCAGGATCGTATAGTAAGAGAATTCGAGGGGACACAACAAATCTGAAAAAAGACCCAAATCTTCGAGCTCTGGAGCACTTTGAAAAAAAATTCGGCACTAGCAATAGGCTTTGCACAATCGACAGAAGTAAGAAGACCCTGGATCCCGCTCGGTCCCTTAAGCGAAGAATTCACCATTTTGTATTTTTCACCTATTGTTAAGACGCGTACGATTCGAGAAGTAATACCAGCTGTCCCGAAATCCTTCTGAATAGTTCAGAAGTTCTATTTAGAGTAGCCGACCCTGCGTGAGATGTCTCACGTGGCTCCCTGCTGAAAAGTATGAAAGTAATGCATTTCATTTGTCTTGCTTTTTTCTCTCCAATGTTTGTCTTCTGTAACGTTTGTAATGCACCAAGGTGTCAGCATGTTTGTTTAGTAAATGTTATGAAAGCTTGAAACACTCTGTTTAGATAAAAAGGTATGCGTACATGAGGCTCAAATCCCGCGAAATCAACGGAATGTTATATTATGGCTTTGATTTCTTTTCCATGGCGCCTACCACAGTGGCTTTTTTCGAGGCGCGCCCTGGCTTTGGGAATGGGAGCATCAGATACCCCATGTGACGCGCTGGCCTAAACTTCAACCAAGACGCCTCTCTGTTACAGGCCCTTGCCCGCTGGGCCAATCACGAATCTTCCTTTATTCGGGCCGGTGGAGATGCGCAAGGTTATTGTCATGGCGACGGTGGTAGCGTCTGTTGGGAAGAAACATGGCGTTATTACAAAGCGTTGACAGCTTAATTTGGGCTCGAAAATAATGCAAATTGATATCCGTATCATGTGTTGACGGTGTTGCAGTGACACCACTCAGTGCTATTATTAGACTAACTAGTCCTGCTTTCACTAAATTACGTATATGAAATATGCCTCAAAGGTGGGACAGCCCTTTTGGTATAATTCTCGAAGAATGTGGAATTCCTGATAACTTTGGATGCATATGTAATAATTTTTTAGCAGGGAGCATCCGTACAAACGTCGGACTCCCACAATCTTTAGATTTTTTACTTCAGCCCGAAGGTTGTTGGCCACCGCAGAAAGTCCCCAAAACTTGCCAGACATCAGCGACATCCACCACAAGATCACATGGTAGGAGGTCCTCACCTTGCATATTTTTGCCGGTTGCCGAAAGACCAACCGTACACAGAGCTTCCCGATTGCGGTACATTCTCGAGACTCACCAAAAGTCCTTAGGTGAGCCGAGGAAGGTGCAGGGGCAGAGAATCGCGGCGATGACCAAGATCCAGTAGCACTCGACCATGTCGAGGCCGGCCGTCCTGATGAGGTCGCGGATGAGTTCGGCAGAGAGCAGCACGTACACCACGCCTGAGCCAAACTGGTTGATGAAGATGGCTACCGTAGCCAAGTACCTGCGATGGAAAGTGCGGCTTTAGCAACAGTCTGGCCCGCATGGGACAGGAGAAAGGGGGCGAGGCATGCCGACACCTCTTCAGCATTTTTCGCTAAGTATGACGATTGAATGAGTATGTGGATATCTGCATTGAGAGGAAATACGTGGAATTGTTTTCCAATGGGATGAACAGATGAATTTGGATTGAGCCGCATCCTCTGATAAACGGATGGCCGAAAGCGGAGTGGGTGCTTAATAACCTGATCAATTTTTCACAAGGGCTTCGCATTTTATGACAAGTGTTCAGACAAGCAAACATGCTCTCGACTGGGCCAGGTACGGCAGAAACGGGGGTCGGGGGTTCTAGGGTGCAGCTGCTCATATATCTGAAACTTTAACATCAACCCTACGACGTTGCATGGAAAGAACCAAGAAAAAATCACGGTTTGCGACGAACTCTTAAGAACTCCTCCTCCTTGAGGTACGGGGTTCGATTCCCCGCGGTGCCCGCCCTTCCTGCCAGGGTGAGAGACAGGCGACACCATGTAGCCTCAGCAGCTGAGTGCGTCATAAAGCCCAATGACATGACAACGCCTGCTCCTGTGACTTTCCGCCGTCAGAGGCCGCGGGCTTACTTGAGTGGGTTGCCGAACGCCCTGTAAGCGATCTCCGGGTAGGGCGCGCGCACCTGCTGCTGCAGCTCTGGGTAGCGCGACTCAACAATCAGCCAGCAGCGCGACAGCGTGTAGCCGCAGAAGGCCGAGTTGGCACCGAAGTACACCAGTAGCACCATGCCGATGTAGCCTGTGGGCAGAGGCACCGGTGACGTCACCGCGCTTATCTCAGCCGATGCAGGATAGGGCTCGAACCGAGCAGAAGTGGAAGGGGTGAAGATTCTGGGTCAGATATGGCTCCTCAGCTAGCGAAGACGCCTCCGCCCTACCCATCATAAAGGTTAAGTAGATTGTACCTTGCGCTACATAAGCCGCATGATGTGTGCGATTAGGTTAGATTGATTAATGTCTGAATTGGCCCTCGGGGCAAAAAGCACCCGCTGGATTGTATTGGACCACGCACCTATGCATAATTGGTATGTTAGGAAGAACATATTAATGTGGTTCTGCCACTTTGTGCACCGTCCTGCAGGGCCTTTTTTGATCGCACACAGGCTACGTACATAGTTTAGAAGCCTTCCCTGGATAAAGAATAGGCCAGCCTGTGGCGTACGCACTGCCTCCAGGGCATGCCTACTCCTCCTTTCCCGCTTGTTGAGCTTATCAGACGTATTGATGTGTGTCAGAACATATAATGGCAATTCAGCATTAAATATTGACTAATAGATGATAACGAATCGAGAGTGTGCCGTATTGTTTAACGTCATTAGAGTAGTTCGCATGCGTGCGGCGCACCAACCTGTGTTTTATCGCAATGTTTTGCGTCGTGCCTCCTCTTCGCGAATTCCTAGACACACTCCTGAGGTGAGGTGCATGCTCCTAACTGGTAGAAGTCGTGACCCTGACTTAAGATGACAAACGATACTGATACCATGGAATGACGAGGAATGTTGACTCTGTGAAGCAAATCGCTGGCATTTAGAACGGGACCTAGATAAGACGTTATCGGCGTGGCTTCGTTTTTGCGATCATGGGTTCGACATGGTGCGAGATTCGGGTGTACCAGATCCGAGGTGATGAAGGTTTCCACGTCTCGCAGTCGCTGAAGGAGGGCTGATCTTCCATATAACCGGGGGTGGGTTCAGCATGAAATTTTGAAGACGACAACGTTCGAACAGTGTCTCTTTTTCACTGGCTTGGGAACAATGTTCGCGTTTTCCGCTCCATCGCGTCCCGTCTTCAACAGCACGAACATAAGGCCGAATTCGAAAATATTAGTCGTCCATTGCAACATCTGTACACTGAGCCCAGCGTGAGAGCAGGTAAGCCAGTTACTGGCATTTACAAATCATGAGGGGAGGTCAACATTGTGGGAGGATAGGAGGACATCTCTCGCATACTAACGACCGTTTGTTTGTGTTTAGTTCAGTCAACACAGGCTCACCAATAGGCTCCTACAATTGCCATTTACCATTGGACGTATGCATATTCGTTTGTTTTCCTTGAACTTAATCGTGAACACGATAAAACACTGTCTAAAAAAGCATTCTGTCATACTGAGCACAAATGTGTGCGCAGGCCGGCGCGATGGGTGCTCATGTCTGTGGTCGGCACCTACACCAGCGCGCATTCGCGCCAGTGAACCGTTGGTATACAACCGTGAATACGCGCGCCGCGGCGGCCGTGGGGGCCGGCGTGCGGACGTCGTACCAGTGAGCTTGACGGCGTTGGCCAGCGCCAGCATGCCGCTGCCGGCCACCATGCCGGTGATGAAGACTGAGGCCACCATCGGACTGAGGCCCGCCTGCCCAGCCGCCTTCCCGACGGTCCTGTCGCTGTTGATCGACATGCTGCGCTCGGACGCCATCGTCTGGAACAGGGCCGTGCGCACGTCAGCTCTAGAGGAGACGGCCAGCCTGGTGCAAGGGCGGTGCGCGCCGCGTCGCTAGGTCCGGCTTGGGAGCCGCGGCCGTGGCGAAGGCCGGGGCTTACGCTGGTGGAGAGAGGAGGCGTTGACAGCGCGCCTCGCGCCGTGCTGGTAGACTGCTCCAAGCTGCAAGCATATAGCTCACTGCACGTGATTCACGCAGAAGCAGGCAGGTGAGCACAGACATGGAGGCGTGGAAAGCCACGCGTGTTCAAATTGAGCTAACTACATCACAGAGGAAACTGGCATGTGGATCATAGGTTCCGGAAAAGGGAAGTGCAGAATTGTGCAAATCGAGCACTTTCTAAAACAGTGAAATAAGAGAGACTCTCAGAGGTTCTCTCCAGCCTTTTCAAATGCTCGTCTCCTCATAGCTGGATTTTTCATGGTCTGCTTGTATACCATGCATAAGCAGACACGAATATTACCCCCATTTGCTGTATGCGTCTCTGAAGTTTAAAAGTATCGATTATTAAAATCGTGGTGAAGATCCTGAAATATAACTCGCGTTTCCGAGGCTTATATTGAATAGTGGTTGATGGGATTAGCTTGGTAGAGTGGAGTGATGTCCCATAGTAATCTGGATCGCTTGTCGTTTCACACAAACAACCATTCCGTTTGATCCACCGCGAAGTGGGTATTTCACAGGTGGCGCATATCATCCTAATGGGTCTTGATTTGCAGTCAACACGGGTCGCTTTTGTAGTGCGGTGAAAAATCTGCCGCTTAAGTGTGCCTGAAGCACTGTGCAAATAGACGGCGGTTGAAAATGTGCAGTAAAACTAGTGCCATTGATCAGCGCGTCGAGATATCGCCCACAATTCAGATCTCACCAGACGTATATCTTTCTATCTGCTGCGCTCTTGACTCGACATCTTCTAACCAGTTGTCAGCGGTTGTGAAACAAAGACTTGATTCGGCCAGTTCTCCACGCTATCACCGCTTGCTGCGCCGCGGCACGGATTGCGACCAGAAGTCGCGTGGCCACGTTCGATGTGAAACGTTTGGTTTCGAAACGTAAGGCAGTCGAAGCTGATCCAGCTTCTCCAAGATAAGATAACCGACCCAAAAATAGTTGTTGCAGCCTGAAGGATATAGAGGGCACGATACGTTGCATTGGTCCCGGCCAGGTCAAAGGTCAGCACAGTAAGAAATGATTCGCACGATGGCACAGTGACCCGTCTGGTCACTCTCAAATCTGTAGCCGATCTTGGGTGAGCACAATGGCGCACGCAATATGGCCTTATGGCCTGAGCCCCCCAAGAACTGGAAATATTTGCGCCCTTAGGCCACCGAAGGCACCTTGTTACATGGAGCCGAAGGGGATGCGTTACAAAACGCAACTAAGGCAGTGCCCCTAGGACCAATTGATCGCATGCCCATACGCCCTGCTGGGAGCCGCCTTGAAGAGAGTGCCCCAACTTTAGGGCGTATTTCAAAAGCATACACCGGTAGAAACTAAGGGTCAGTTACGTCTAATATTGGTAATGAGTAGTGCTACTGCAGCACCATCGATACATAAAAACATACAAAATTGCAATAATTTTCGGGTCCAGCTTATGTTGGAGACGCTTTGTAACAGCTGTGCGCTGCTTCCCTGCAGTCATGACAGTCGTCGTCATGGCGTCAACAGAATGTGCCGAGCTGTTACTGAGTGACGCTAGTACAAACGAACGTTTATGCTCGGCACAGGGGGCGGCAAGGGCCAGTGACCGAGAAGCGCATTGTTGAAGCTTGAACCAGAGCGTCACTAGAGATCATGTGATGCTCCGTTTTCCAAAGCCAAGGCCAGCCTCGAAAAAAGCCAACGACGTAAACGTCACAGGGGAGAACTAAAAGCCATAATATAACGTTTCGTTGAATTCACGAGATAATAGCATTACGTCGTTACGTCATAATTTTGTCTAAAAAAGACTGTTTCAAGCTTTCATCGCATTTGATGCACAAACATTTTGACAAACAAGTGTAATGCAAACATTACTGAACACACCCGTTGGAAAAAAACAAAGCAAGTAAAAGGTATTACCCTCTTAATGGTGAGAGAGGAGTCCAGTCACATTTTTCCCGCAGCAGCGTCTACTTCAGATCTATATTATGAGCTGTTCAGAAGAATTTGGAGGAAACTGGCATTTCTGATGAAATTGTATGTGTCTGATCAACAATTAGTGGGACGAGTAAAGAAGGTGGATTTTCAGCTTTAAGGCTAAATGCCCAGGTAGAGAGGCGTCTCCCGCTCCTGAGTAAAACAATAAAACAGAAAAAACAAAAAAGACTGAGAGGCTAGAGGCTAGCCAAGTTTAGGCAGCGAGCACCCGACCCTCGTGGAGACTCCAAGACTTTGTGATGGGTTCCACTTGCACCAAGTAGGCAAGCTCGTGTTTGAGTAATACAAATATGCCAAAATGGCCAATTTTTTTTAGATGGCATTATTGCGTGTTTGATTTCCCACTACACTGAAAAACATTAGTGAATAATAAATGGCCCTCCCACGTTGGTTAACAATGCTTACCTGCTTACATGACCACAACAACTTGACACGCATTTCTTTTTAACTCATTCGCGGTGTAACACTTCTTTCAACCAGGGCTTCCTTTCTCCATCTCTAAAGGTTTCCTTTCATCCATTTCTTTCCTGCCCTAGTAGCCTGTCTTCAGGTTACTAGGATTCTTATCCTGATCGTGCAGAAGCTGTGGGTGCCGCCTCTGGGGAGGCACCCAGAGGCGGCGCCGCCAGGGGCAAGGGTAACATATCTTTCAGCTTCCTTTGTAATTTTAGGAGTCTCTATGGTGCCGACAGGAGGCCTTAGATGATGCGCACGTGCCTTGTGTTCGAATTCGAAATTGCATTCAAATGGTCTTGATGGTTTTGTGCATTGTGCTGTGAAGAAGCTTCCGAATTGCAACGAGGTATCAAAACCGCTGGTACAGTGCAAGGCACAGGACGAATTTATATAGCAAAGATCATTTACGAGAACACCAGTAACGCATGGCGTCTCACCCACTTTCACTCAAATATCGTAGTGAGCCTTGTTTGGTCTCGTCTCTCCACACTACCCAAAGCAACCGTGCCACCCCGGACTCCGTGCGAGCCTGCTTCACGGCCGCTGTACTCACGGTGAAGTGGCGGCCAGTGCGGGACAGTTGGGGGTGGCGGCAGCTGCGGCGCGGCCCGGCGTTCGGCGAGTGGCACCAGTCACAGGCCGTGACCACCGCCAGCCAATCTTATCAGGTGCCACCGCCTGACCACTCATGGCCAGTGGCGATACAGATATTGGCATTGCAGCAGCGACGGTCGACTTAATGAAGAGACACAGTCGCCTACTTGGCACAGTAGGTGGCACGTGGCGTCAAAGGCCACGATCTTATCGTAGCGGCCGGGGGAAAATGGGCTTGTTTTGTTGGTAACAATTATTTGGAGCGCCGCAACCAAATGGTTGTCAGTCCCAGCTCCCATACCTCCCGGCTGGACTTAGTACGCCGGAAGACTTCAGACAGTCAGAATGGATGACCCGTTACCAAAAAACGAGCAGTGGAATGTTACTTTAAATGTCAAGGATACATCTTGGAAAATCGGGGCACTTAACGAATTCCAGAGTGCCTGGTGTAAGCATACTTGATGCTCTGCACAACAAACATAATGCGATTGCCTCATCGCGGCAGACAAGCGCCAAGTGGGGGGTAAGGGTCGTCACTGATACGCTGCAAGCAGGTGACGTGTTAATTCAAGCAGGGCTAGGAAACCGGGCCAGGGGCCCATGTAACCTGGGCACACATTTAAAGGCAAATGCGGATTTGGTCCCAGTCTGTTGCGAAGGCCAGTCTGAAAATTTTGAGACTTTACCACATGTGAGCTTCTTTGGGCGTTCGATACGAAATGCGAACGAAGCACCGAAGAAAAATCATAAAACTTAAACATGATTACTGCCGTTTCTACGTGCATCCACTCAGCAGGCGCAGTGTGCTGACAAGGGACTGATACAGGCGCCCGGGAACAGATCGCTGGGATTTTCGCGTCCCACTTGGACCTCAGCGGGGGACAGAACTGTTGCAAACTCACGAGTGGCTGGGGCAGGATATTCGGCTTCCAGGGGTTAGGGTACAGAGTGTAGGGCATATCTTGTGTTTGCTCAGGCGGGAAGAGAGTCCGTGCACCTTCCATCGCTCTGCCAACATGTACAGACTGTGCCGTGGCCGCTATTTGGTTATCGGTGGCCGACAAGCATTATTATATGATTTACTTGCATCTGATAGCATGTCAATCATAGCGACATATAGCGTGCGTACCATAGATACGCAATAAGAGTTCAAGCACCTAACTGAAGGGTCATAACAAATTGGTGCTCATGGATTGCACTTACAAAGGGGCCCTCGTTGATGGTGATTCTTAAGCATGCATTATGAATCTCACAATATTTAACAGGGGCCTCTTTAAAAGAGCATACCGGCCATACGGCAAAATTGCCGTGCGGTCGCATTAAGGGATTAACTCTGGGCATTACAGGCAACGCCTCAACAACTTCATTTACGCTTATCAAATGGCGCACAAGTTTCTTTAGACGAGGAAAGACCAGGATAGAATATTTTCAGTTTTGGTCCAATGTCTCGGGCGTACGGATACGGTCGACACCGGGGTACGTATATCCCCCTATCAAATTTATGATGCATTTTAATGTGTGCACATGAATGCTAGCACTTAACAAGTCAGGGTGGATAACAAATAAAACGTAGATCATGATGTATCACATTATTTTACGCCTTGGAGCAGATGACGTGCGCCTACGACGCGATGAAATGAGTTTTCAAAGGCAACTTATAGCTATGCCTCTCACGTTGCGAAATCCTGCATACACCCTGTGCAGCCTGATCACGATGGTATTGAATTAAGTGTCTCTGGTGAGCTGTTTCCGAGCAATCTCACCGCGCCGCCAGTATATCAATATGGTCAGCGCGCAATGCAAAAATAACAGATCGATTGCTGAAACATCGGACAAATTAATTGAATTAAAACATGTGTGTGTGTGTGTGTGTGTGTGTGTGTGTGTGTGTGTGTGTGTGTGTGTGTGTGTGTGTGTGTGTGTGTGTGTGTGTGTGTGTGTGTGTGTGTGTGTGTGTGTGTGTGTGTGTGTGTGTGTGTGTGTGTGTGATAAACACCACATACCGTCTATAGCTGGGTGAACAAACAGCACACGGTGAACGATAGGTATTCACAATAATACCCTTAACATACCAAAATATACGCTGAGTGTCGTGACAAATTTTTGAATGACACTGAAAACTGGACCCAGCATGCACTACATATGAGAATGCTACTGAGTGCACGCAAACGCAGTTACACGGTCGTGTCATACCGCACCACACACCTAAGCACCCTGAACACTGGCCCTTCGAATCAGGTAGGCACTGTCCCATGAAAATAATGATGGTCTATATTCTGCCAGTTAACTCGATGTCGTCGATATCTTGGCACCCTTTATCAAGGTGGTCCACTCGAAACCTTCATCGGATGCAGTGCTATTGTGGCAGCATTCAATAATGGCTCAGGTAGTAAAAGGATATAGATTAGGCCCCGTTTTAATACTGTCATGACAGGAACGTTTATGGGGCAGTGATATTGCACCTAGCTACAAACATTGGCACAGATAACATTGCTTTGGCACGAGGATATGGACCATGTCCGGTTATAGCATGTAGTGCAGAGCGCTGGGCCAACTTATAGGTGCATAACTGCTCTGGGATTGGCCAAGAAAGCATGAAATGCACAATGTCGAAACGACTACGGAATGCAAAACATTTTGACGTCTGGAAAACTCCTCACAATAACTCATCTCTATGTGCTTTGACAGTTTCCCTGACTTGCTTTATTGCATCGTTTGGGCTTGCGGCTTAACGCAGTTAGTAACTATCTGGTGTCCCTAACTTTGATAGTGTCGGCTTCTAAGGCTTAACTGAATACCTAACCGTCCAATGCCAAAGAGTGAAGGCGTTTGCATTTTGAGAAAAAAAAACACTGATTGTGTAATATCTAGATATCCCTGGAGCCTGCACGTGTGATAGTTGGCGTGCGCAAGACTGACGTGCGGCGGCGTAATCAGAAATTCGTCCCGGGGGGAAACAGTCAGGTCATGAAGTGTCCTTCTAGCCACTCTTCGTGGCTTACGGCGCTATTTTTGGATCCGGGAACAGTTTGAGGCCAAAAAGCCTACTTTGATGCCTACCACACGCTCATTGAGAATGTTCTACACTTGAGATATTGGAGTATGAATCAGATGTGATGATATAAGCTCACTTATGGCTGTTCGTATATTTTTAAGTTCAAATGGCTGCTCTAGAAGCCACAATTTGTCTGAATAGGAAATATGTTCCTCAATATATCACTGTTTAATTACATCAGCGCACCTTCCACAACACTGATTGAGAGCCAGTCGACAGTCGTTATATTGGTAATCGTGCTCACGACCATTACTTGCGAGCAACTCAACCATTATATATATGTTTGGGCCTTGTTCACCGCAGGACCGATAAAATGGCAGAATTTAAATGACGTTATTATGGCGTCATGAATGCCTGCGTGGCCTTGAAATAGTCTCCTCGAAATAGTCCGCACATACTCGTGTGCGTATAGCTTAAAAACTAGAAGAGCTTAGGCCTTAAAAACGGTAATGCTGTGAGCTGCATCAAATGATGTTCAAAATGGCTGTTTCAGTTCAAAACCCCACACAAACGTGAAACACTTTCTTTTATGCTGCTAGCGATAAGAAGTAATTAGGATCCGCGATCAGGTCTATGCGTTTATTTGGTTTGGTTTGGATTGGAGCCATTTCGAACAGCAATGGCCATTTCAGGGCTATCACATAACGGATAGTGGATAATGACGGAGAAAAACTACGTGCACCTGGGAGTCTTCCTCCGAGCTTCAGCCCGCACAGGGATCGCTACACGGGGTGTGCACTCGGTACTCAGACGGGACAGCGCTAGGGGGCAGTTATGCCCAATCCTTGCCGGCGCATGCAGCGTGCCCCGGATAAACGGGACGTCGCGAGGACGCAGGATGAAGCGCGAATAAGGCAGCAAGGACGGATGAACTACGCGTTAGCAGTGTGGCAAATAAGCGCTTCGTCGGAAGGCCAGTCGACGAGGCCCGGCCATGTCTTGACCTGCAGCCCGGATTAGGCAGGACCGAGACACTTCCGCCGAGCCGCCGGATCGGCCGCGCTGCTTGGGCGGCAGCGTCACACATCGGACGAGCCGCCGGATCGGCCGCGCTGCCTGAGCGGCAGCGTCACACATCGGACGAGCCGCCGGATCGGCCGCGCTGCCCGGGCGGCAGCGTCACACATCGGACGAGCCGCCGGATCGGCCGCGCTGCCCGGGCGGCAGCGTCACACATCGGACGAGCCGCCGGATCGGCCGCGCTGCCCAGGCGGCAGCATCACACATCGGACGAGCCGCCGGATCGGCCGCGCTGCCCGGGCGGCAGCGTCACACATCGGACGAGCCGCCGGATCGGCCGCGCTGCCCGGGCGACAGAGTCACACATCGGACGAGCCGCCGGACCGGCCGCGCTGCCCGGGCGGCAGCGTCACACATCGGACGAGTCGCCGGCCCGGCCCGGCCCGGCCCGGCCTGGGGGCCAACACTCGGGTGAACGGCCGGCGGCCTGTGGAGACGGGACACCATCAAGGCTGGGACGGCGAGGCGCCGGCGCCCCCCCCCCCCCGCGCGACTTGGAAATGTGTCATCTGGAGGGTCTACACCAGAAGACGCGTCGCCACCACCTGTCGATCGGCCTGCTCGGACCGCACCGACCCACTCGCCTTACAACTTCGGGGACGGCGGGAGCTAACGTCCTAACCACCCTTATGCCGGCATCATGCAGGCTGACTTATTCGATGTTTTCGGTTGTGCTGGCGGTGGCCGTGGTAATGGATGGCGGTGGAATTTCGGGTGATGCCAGCGCCTTAAAAAGTCAAGTTTTAAAAAGCCAAGCCTCAATTTTGTGGGGCTCGCTCTTGCTCCGGTAACGCAGAGGACCCCAATGCGCTGCTGAAGGTCTTAACGCTGATACCACGTAAGGAATTGAAATTTCATCTTGGACTACCCGTGATGAGATGTGAAATGTGATGTAATGTGATTGGCGATGGACAGTTGTAATCGACAATGGTATATTTTGTATGTGCGTGTGTTTGTTTCGGCTAGTTTTGGCGGCACGCAACCTCCGCTTTTCAGGTTAGTGGCCGGCATGCTTCCTTTGTAAACATCGGTCTAGTTTTGGACGTGCTTCGTATGTAAACGTCAGTCGAGTTTTTGACCTGCTTCGTATGTAAGTGCCTGTCTAGTTTAGGACCTGCTTCCTACGTAAATGCCAATATAGTTTTGGACGTGCGTGCGGCCTATTGCAAATGGCATTGCTTCTCAAAGTAGGTTTATTAGCATGAAATTACATAATCAGTCTTGCACCAATACCTTAACATGCACACCGACTGGGTGTTGCGATGGAGGCAACGACAAAGGGAAACAATTCCAACACAAGTATCATTGACACAAATAGCACTCATTATATTGGCAGCAGGTCATTTACTCACCCCCGTGCATGCGGTTATCTAGCACATACACAGCAACATCTTAGGTGCAGTAGGATGTAACTCCATGATACCCCCGGACACGGGAGGGGCGGCTGCATGCATATATTCACTGCCTTTACATACCTTTGTAGCCCAACAGGCGGCCATCTGCGTGGCGGTGCACAACGCCTAGCGAGGCCCTCAGCTGCGTCCAGCCGCCGCGGGCGTCGCTGTCATCGCTAGTCCTACTGGACGCAGGGAGCGCCACTCGCAGGAGCACACGCGGCACTGGGCGCTGGCACCAAGCGCTAGCGCTGTCATCGCTAGCCCTACTGGCGCAGCGAGCGCCACTCGCGGAGAACACGCAGCATGGGGCGCTGGCGCTGTCATCGCTGGTCCTACTGGCGCAGGGAGCGCCACTCGCAGAGAACACACAGCATGGGGCGCTGGTGCTGTCATCGTCAACCCCTCTGGCCCAGGGAGCGCCACCCGCAGAGCACACGCGGCACTGGGCGCTGGCACCAAGCGCTAGCGCTGTCATCGCTAGCCCTACTGGCGCAGGAAGCGCCACCCGCAAAGCGCACGCAGCACCGGGAGCTGGCTCCAAGGCGGGCAGAGGCCCACTGACGACAGCAAACACCACTGGCTCGGTTACCACGGACTTCGCCACGGAGGAGATGATAGGAGAAATGAAATGAATCGGACTACTCCAAAAGTTTCTGGAGGTTGCGCATCGTACTCGACATTGGCAGATTACATTTTTTTACGCGGAGGGAAACCCAGTCGGGTCCCTAGTCCCACCACCAGATTCCAGCACCATTTCGCGGTGCTGTAAATACCAGTTTGTTCCTGTTGCCAATCTACATATCGTATAGGTCAGATTTTCTCCGGCACTGCCTTCTTATTGTACTAGGTGATGCTCTACAGCATTAAAAGGTACTGTTTTCAACTGCGTCATGGTTTTTGTACGCTCTTTGACCGCCGCTCGGTGCCAGGTATTGCTAGTCGGGGGTCGCCACTGTGCGGCCCTCGGAGACTGCAATGCCGGGCATCGGCTTTTTGTTGTGACCGTGTGTGCATGTTCCAGTGGAAGAACAGATCATATGAAGACTAAATTCGGAAACGTACTTAACCTCTTTTGCAACTTCAACCATTTTGGCTCTGCCAATCGTGTTGAGAAATCGACACCATCGCATGGATATGGATGCATACAACAATTCCATGAGGATTCCATTTCGGAGGCACGTGAAACGTGCCTCCGAAGTGCCTTCCCTGAATACAACTCATTGCCCGGGAGGCACCTCCGTGAAGAGACCCTATTCAGCATTCTGTCCAGGAGGTCTCCTGGAAAATCCTGCCTGGAGCTCCAACTCAAAATCCGTGGCGCCACCCCTGCTACCGGTTACTGCCAATGAACTCAAACCTGATGCACCAGTAGCTTAGATCTCTTTGCTCTTTTCGCTTTAAATGTCTGCAACTGAGCAGGAGTCTTTTCATTATCATCATAATCGTGACGTAAGTTATGTTTGAGGTGGTGCATGCACTCTATCATAAATATATCACCTTTGTGGGGTAAAACTTCAAATATGCCAGCCAGATGTGGAAGCTTGTTTACGTTGCTTTAAGCCGCAGGTGCGCCGAAACTAGGCAATGACCTTGCCCATGGCAGTGTCGGGTGGGTCCCGTTTTGCGTGGATTTCGTGAATGGTTGGTGGTTATATGAGTATTTTGGGATAAATTTGTGTTGTGTTACACGAAGACTACTCTTATTCATGTAAATCAACAGCTTAATGATTTGTCTTTGAGTTGAAGTGTTACAATTTTACCTTCCGTCTTCAAGCAGTGAAGAACCTGCCTACTCCACAGCAAATGCCAAACATACGATCAGCTCTGAGATAACGGCCACCTCGGACTTCATCTGGTAATTTCTTTGTTGTTGGTGAATGGACTAAATTGACATATCTGATGCATTTGTTAAGGACAAGCACATATGCTTGCATTGATATGAACAGTATATTTGTGTGGATGGTGTGCATGGTGGAATATGAAAATGGATGTGACAGGTGCCAGTATGCAAAAAGAAAATTATTCCTCATCAGATGCCCAAGTGTTGTTGATGCATGAACTCACAGCATATGTTTGTTAAACTTATTCAGGGTAAATAAGCAAAGTTTGAAAATTGATTTTGAAATAATAGCTTGGTGGTGGTAACAGCCCATTTTTGCATATAGTTATAATTACAGCTTTCTTCTCTTGGATTTGCTTGCTTTCCATGCATCAAATTTAATTGAGGTCATGCTTCAAACTTGTGCCATAATTTGTGGTGTATATGGTTTGGCATTGTTTGTATGATTGCCACTATGCTGGACACATTAAATGTGACATGAAATGTCATAGTCTGTAGCATGCATGATTGCCACTATGCTGAACATATTCAACATAGCATGACCTGTTGTGGTCTTTGGTGCTGCCAAGTTGATTTTGTGTATAAACACATTTTGTTCTGACAAACACAAAATGTAACACTTCACAAGCTACCTCTGGGCTATCTGGACAGAAGAGTGCTCAAACATGCAACTAAGGTATGTCCATACTGGTGATTCTTGAATGCTGTGTGAGGCTTGAATTCTCATCTTCTTTTACAACCACATTTTATTTTTTGTTGCCTTATGGCATACAAAGTTAATATTAATCATAATGCAAGGTCACCATGCCTCAGTTTCAAAAGAAATAGTTCTGATCTTTCCAAGCACTCTTACAATGCTTTAGTTAGAGACACAAGGAACAAAGCTGGCTGTGGGATCCTGATTGTTAATTCACCACTGTCAGTCATTGGTAATGAATAAAAATGCTGACCAGGCAACTCAGTGGTTAGTATCATTATCTAGCATAACAAACTTTGTTGTGCTGGATAATATTTTTGTTGCCAAAGGAGGGTTGGAAAATGGTCAAGAAAGTAGGTATTAAGTGTTGCTTTATTAAGTGTTAAGTATATTGTAGTTGCTCTAACCTTAATGCTTTATGCTGCCTGCTAAAAATATAGTTTCTGTAGTTTGTTGTGTTGAGGAAGAATGTCTTACGTGGTAATGCATGCCATATCACTATATACTGAATTATATAGTTTATGGTGATCAGGAAAACAAGATTCATGATGTAGTAGCACATGCCATATCATGATATACTATTATTTTGAAATTTGTGACATACCTTAAGTTAATGTAAAATCAGAGTATATTGTACATTTGTTCATTGGTGGTGTATTCGAAGTTGGGATGCACACACAATATCTTATGGGCATCTGTAGCTCTCATGGTCTTGTAATTCAGTGGTGTGCCATTACCTTTATCAGTAAATTGCAGTGTGATAACACTGTGCTGGTAGAAGTGGTTGTCTTGGTGGTTCAGAGAGCTCATCAGTTGCTGTTTGCCTTGTGACAGGTTCAGACTTAGTTGAGACATTGACATTTTGCCATTTCACCATCTTCCACCAAGGATGGCATTGGAGATTGCATTTATGGTGGTTAAGATAAGTCATGCTGTATGGGAATCATAACACATTGCAAACTTGGTGAAGTAGCCCTAACATTATAATCATATTTTAACCTGTTGGTAAACAGCTGTTGTGTATGTAACACAATGTTAAATTGGCCCTCAAAATAACTTGATTGTGCTCAAGATTCCAACCAGGCACAAGACAAAGTTACCCAACTTCCTGAACTTTTTAAAAGCCGAGGTCGTGCTGGTTTATTATGCTATATGTTACCATATGACAAAATAATTTGCTAAGTACATTGACCAGAGCTGAGCTTCCACCATTTGGGAATTCAAGTCTGAGAGTTGTTGGATATCAGTTCAGATGAGATTTGAGATATAAATGCATTCAAAAAGGTTCCAATCTTCACATCAACTCTCAGATTAATGTATTGTAGTAAAACAAGGGATTAGGCACTCTATTTGATAGAGTAGCAATGTATTGAGGTTGCTTTTAGTTTGTCTCACAGAAATCTGAGCCTGCAAAATATGTGTGACATTTACATGAAAGCTTAAGTGATTCCTTCCTGCATGTGGTGTGGTTTTTAGGGTTTGAATTGTGGTTATCAAGGTTTTGATAGTTGCTTCAAACTTTAAAGATGAGTGAGGTCAAGATGTTTTGTAATCCGTCTTAATCCTGTAATTCTGGAATTCTCAGCTCCAACATTGACATCAAGACATTTTAATATTGTGTGCTCTGTTTTTAGTCAGTCTGGATCACCACATCATTTCAAAGAGTGCTGGGGCCTCCTGTATGGAACTGTTTTCTTTGCTTGTGCCATGGAGCACCACACAATGTCAAAAAGCAGGTCCTCTTGTAACTTACTGAAAAATGCTTACATTCGTATGGATGTATGCTTATCCATCTCAGGGAGCCCAGTTCCAGAGTCCCTGAATTTCTTAATTACCTCTGGGTGACATCTATAATTAAGTATCTATAATTTGGACAGCTGCCCCAGTTGTTGGTTGCCTCCTCAAGATCCCTAAACACTCGCTCGGGCATGAAGGAGCACCATTTGTTGTTCCCCCCCCCCCCCCCCAAAGGTTGTTCTGGAATGGTTTCCGAACGGCGCGGCGTAAACGCGCCAAAGTTTCCATGGCTGTTGACAGTTGAATAGTGGATTGTTCAGTGTCAAATAATTAACATGTACCTTGTAAGGTTGCTGAGCTACGATAGGCCAAAGCTGGGCAATGGATTCAGCGAAGCCAATGTCTAGGGAATCGTTCATTTGATGCAACACCTGAGAGTTATATGAAGTAATGCATCTCTGAGGTACTTTCTTAGGCAGCAGAACAGTTGCATGAACAAATTCTGTTGACCTAGGGTTAGGTATGATGGTCAGACCAAGGTCAAAATCATCCTGTTTTATTTCTCCAGGGTTTCTAAGATCTCAGGAGAGTCAACTTAACCCCCATCCCCACTTAAGTGAAGGGTATTCAACCAGCCAGCCGGGTGCGCGTTAAGCTCCCAGAAGAATCTGCAGTCTTGGAAAGAAATGTGTGATGTCCAAACGTTTATGGCAGCAAAATGTTGCAAGAAAGCGAAGAAGTATTTAAAAAATGGATGCTGGATTATCCTTGGATGACAGTTTGAAAAGAATTCTGACTTTTGCTCCTGACTAGAATCCTGACTAAATTGCCCAAACAGTCTCCATGACGGCTTGGGCAATTCGGGATGCTCCGGCTCACGAGACCAGCTCTAGACGGGGGCCTGCCATTCCTGGCGGTCTGCTTATTTGATTTGCACGATTTTTTTCTGACTGACGAACCAACTTGAGTGGTGCTTGGCTGATTTGGACTGTCCCAGGTATAGGGGCCATGAAACTGTGTCCAGACCTGTCGGACGGACTTCACGCTGTCCACTTTGAGAAAGGTTGTCTGACCTGTGATCTTTTGACCTGCTAAAGGCCCTTCAATTTCCTTAGCGTTTCCCCGTGATCATGCCCACTTCCATGTTAGCACATCAGACACAATGAACACATGGCTTTATTCAGCGGTCTTCTGAAGTACGGTTGCTGAGCGCTGCGTGACCATCCACAGTTGATACGCCCTAAAACTTCAAATCGCTGCCACCACGCAAAGCAAGGTGCTGATTTCCGCACAACTGTTGGGATGTTGTGTGCAACTTTGACATTCTTGGATCATGCATGTCATGCAGGTGTCATGTATTATTTCGCGGGTGATTAGGACGTTACCTGATATTTTCAGCGCTGCAGTGCCAAGGAATGAGGGTAATGCACACAATGATCACTTTCAGTTGTGTAAGTAAAAAGAGATTACATAACACATGAAAGCATAAAAACACTAGCTTCATGCTTTGCTGTGCAGCACAGCACAACCGAGCAGGGTTTAATCACAGCTATTGTTGTGCTGCAGCATAGCATTGCCGGCCATGGACTCTGAGAAGAAAGAGTTCGAGAAGATGGTGAACATGATCTGCCGGAAGATGGCGCACATCATCGTGGAATCCCGCCTGGGTAAAAAGATCCACACGCCATGCAAGGTGCACGCAGATGGTCCGGACTGGGTGAGTGAGACTTCATTAGATGCCAGTGGATTGGCCTTCACGGCATGCTTGTATGATGTGGAAATAGCGCCAAATTGATTATTTTGAGGTTTTTTTCGGTGCGGATGTCTGCTCGCCGGCTGGCTTGGCAGCCATATATGGTGAGATCCTGTTGCATAACATGGAAACCTCACCTGGACCAATTCAGGTCCGTGTGGCGACCGCGGCACGGGGCTGACCTGCACACAGTCCATGCGATGCTCGCGGTAATTGCCTCAGCACGACCGAGCGTGGACGCTGACCCTCCAACAGAAAGCTAACGGCCGCCCTCCCGACCCCGGGTCGCCTCCAGTTCAACCTGTCCACGGACGACATGCCGGACGTGGTGAAGGAGGTGAAGCGGCTGCTGGCCTCCTCGGGCGGCCTCTCGGACCCGGCGTCGCCGCTCTCCAGCTTTTGCGTGGAGATCTCGCTGAAGACTGCCGACGGCGTGCCGCTGGTGCTGGAGCAGTGGTCGCTGACGCTGGACCGCTCGGCCGGCACCGGCGCTCGGCCCTCCACCAACGTCATCAACCAGCTGGGTGGGTGCCGCCGCCCCGGCCGGTCCGGTCACGGGGATAGCCGGCCCTCGCGCGGGTTCGAGCGATCGGACTGCAGCCGATCATGTGTTGGTCACTATTGCCGCCGCGGTGTACAGTATACTGCCAGCTGGCCCAGACCCTCGGTGGAAAAGCAGACGTCGGAAACGGTCAGTCGTCTTCTTAAAATGTGTCATGAATCAGGTCGCGATCTGTCGGCAGCGTAGCCGCGATAACGCTGCCACAGAGCTGCGCTCCAGGTGTCTTACCTCATCCTTTGTGCTGCAGGAATCCTGCTGAAGTCGCTGGTGGTGACCACGCGCCTAACGACTGCGTACAAGCTGTCCCGCCAGCAGAGTCAGGAGTCTCACATCATCTTCTACAAGATCTACATCGGCGAGCCAGACATTCAGAGCCTGGGTCAGTCGGCGGCGGGTGCAGCCGTCCTGCGGGGCGGTCTAGAGATATCTTACACCGGGTTGCCACCGATGGAAGGTGCTAACCGGTCAGCGTGTTAGTAATCAAAACCAGATGGAGAGCGATCGGTCCCAATGCTCTAGAATCCGGTGCTGGGAACAACAGCATAGTCACAACTTTTTGGGACACCTCCAGACATTTTCCATTTGATCAGATCGCTATGCATCCGTTGAAGCTTGGTTGGTCGTGTGTCGGAATATATTGACCAGCGAGTGTCGTACCAGCTATGTCGACCAGTGAGTGTCGTATGCGTTCCGTCGACCGAGCGTCGTACGGATCCTGTAGGTTCGAGTTGCGTGAATGCCGCACACGTTGTGTCCTGTATATCAGTGAGTCTGTGGCGTTCAGCGAACTTTGCACGCTTTGTCTGTCAGTGAGTCCTGTCAGTCAGTGTGGCCGTTGAGGTCGGGTTCGGTCAGTGCCCCACGAGTTGTGCCGGTTCGTAAGAGTGGCATAAGATGCTGCCGCTGAGTGGCTACCGCAAGTGTCCGGCAATCATCCCACGAGTCCCGTGAGTCATTGGTGTCGCACCAGCTCTGTCAGTGCGCCTCTAACCGTCTCCGTCTGTCAGCGAGTGCATGATCCTTCGGTCACGGCGGGATGCCTGTGCGCCGATGACGTCACCCGCCCCTGCGCTGACGTCACAGGCGAGGCGAGCGAGCAACTGGCGATCGGCGAGGTGTGCACGCCCAACTGCAGCTTCAGCCTGGCGCTGCACCACCGCACGCGGCTGGCGCTCTCCACACACTCCGATCCGATCGTGATGAAGAGCGACCACTTCAAGCCGGAGCTGAGCCCGCGGGTGCGCCGCGTCACCGCCTTCGTCGAACGGCGGCACAGGTCAGTGGCGAAGCGGGGCCGTCCTGAGGGAGATCCGGGCCGAGGTAGGCTGCAGCCAGCCGTGGGGGGAGTCATCGCCTTCGTCGAGCGGCGGCACAGGTCAGCGTTGAAGCGGGGCCGTCCTGAGGGAGATCCGGGTCGAGGTGGGCTGCAGCCAGCGGTGGGGGGAGTCATCGCCTTCGTCGAGCGGTGGCACAGGTCAGTGTTGAAGCGGGGGCGTCCTGAGGGAGATCCGGGCCGAGGCAGGCTGCAGCCAGGGGTAGCACAGACAGTGGGGGTATCGCCGCCACCGGGGAGCGATGGCACAGGCCAGGTAGGGAGGATATCGCAGCCAGGACGTGCTCAATATCATTCGGCCGGTTTTCGGAAAGCGAGTGCGCACGCAAAGTGTTGTATTGTTTTCCGCAGGACTCGCATTTAGGCGTCGTTGATGTTCAGTTGATGGCGCCGCATCAGGCACGCGATAGGTGGTCCATTGGACGAGGCTAGCCCGTCCATATAGGCATACATGGAACAGCGAACTAGATGATGCACACTGCATGCGGTTCTCGCCGACTGCCGGCTGTCACGCGATGCGTACCGCGATGCGTAGTGAGGGAACGTGCGATCGGCGGGTGCCAGGGTCGTGCACGAGCGGCCGCTCACCCAACGCGCCGCCTTCCGCAGTGACAGCGTCGAGATGATCGGCGTGTCGTCCTCGTCGTCCTCCAACATGGACACCAAGACCACGGGCGGCTCCTCCACAGACAGGTGGGTTGTCGTCCGACACGGGGCCTCGGCTGCCGACGCGTGAAGGGACCGCAGCGGTGACCCTCACACCACCGGAGATGGTTGACCTGTTTCGGCGGTTTAGGAAGTTTGAAGGGTGCTACCGTTAGCCGAAGGCTTTTGGTAACACGTGTTGTATGGACGCTAGCTTAACACATTGGTTCGGCTAGTGTGCACACGGAGTTAAGGTTCATGTGAATTGGTCTGACTGATTTGGCGATGTGTAACATTGTTTGACGATTGGGCCCAACGCCGTGTACTACACGGAACTAATAGAACATCACACAATCAAATTTCTCCTCCCAGCCCACACGTGCTACGGCGGAAAGGCCACCGCCGTCGGTGTGTCGCCCCGCCTCCTAACGCGGGCGTCTGACGCCCCCTCCCTTCCCCTCTGCAGCGACCAGCGGCGGCGTGTGGCGGCGTTCGCCGACGATCCGGGGGAGCGGCCGGTGGCCGGGTGACGTGCCGTTCACGCGGCTGGTGGCCGAGCCGCCGCCGCCGCCGCCAGCCGCCGACGTCAACATGGCGGAGTCGGGCCGCCGGGGCGCCGCGGAGCCTGCGCGGCCCGCCGCTGCCGCCGCTGCCACAGCCGCCACAGCCGCCGCCGCTGCCGCCGCTGCCGCCGCTGCCGCCGCTGCCGCCGCTGCCGTCCCCGCGGCGGCCGAGACGCCGTCCGCCGCGCCCGACGACTTTGTCATGGTAGAGTTGGTAGGTGGTTTGGAGTCGGGCGGCGGAGCGGGTGCGGCTAGTGCCTGGCTTGGGACGCGGGCGCGGGCGCGGGCGCATGCCGGGCGACGGCAGCCCGGGAGGGCGGCAGGCACGGGGCGGTGGAGGCGGGTACCGCATGGGGCGCGTCGGGGGTGACCGCGTCAGTACAGTGCAGCTGGGACGCGTGCAGGGCGCTGGGCTTGGCTAGTTCGCATATTGGATGTGCGGGCCGTCACGTGTGGCGTGCGTCATTACAGGGTCACCGCTTGTCCTGCATGCCCGCAACAGTGTACCTCTGTGGTGTTTGCTCCCGGCGATGGTCATTGCTATGTTGTTTTTCTGTAACTGCAGGTATGCCATGCCAGGAGTACCAGTACTGAATGTACGGCGTGTCGTGGTATTCTTCATCCATTGAACTATAGGATGGGAACGAGCAGTATCGTGAAACATGTGACAGAATACCTAGTGAGAGTGGGAGATGTTTATGAAGGTTTGAGGCAGCAGGCAATTCAATCATGTGATGTCCACTGTTCATGGTAAACCGCCACCGAACAGGGAAATTGAACTCGAAAAACGCCTGAACGGATTACCCTTACCTTCGCGTGAACGGTCATTTGTTGGTGGGTTTGTTCCAGTCGCATGACGGCCGCGGCTGGCAGTCTCGTGTGTTGTTAGTGATGTATTGAGTTAGAGAAGGCAGTTTCGTGTCGCAGCTCGCAGTCACGTGCTGATCACGCCGGATTATCTAGCGCTGTCAGGTTTGAGTTCGATAGTTTCCTGAACTCGAACGCTCGTAAACAGGGCGTAAACATTGCAGCGAAGCAAGTTACAGAGTTGAAGCTAAAATCGATGGTCGGCGATCACATGCAGCAGTAATTGCAGTTTACCATCGACAGCCGACGTATTCCAGGCAATCTGCGATACCGTGATGTGATGACTTTCTCCGATATCGTGTGCAAGACGCTCATGCGACAATCGATTTTAACGAATCTATGCTCCTGCCGGCAAGCCCGGACAATGCCGGCTCTTGTTCCTCCCATCATCCGAGTACCAGCTGATGGCACTCGTTCGCAGAGCGTTGTAATAAAGTGATTCCTGAGATACGTACCCCATATTATAGCCCGCGGCTACAAGTCACCGTTTTGTAACCCCGCTGCGCGCGCAAATGAAGTAACGGTGCGCAGCGAGACGTGGCATATTCAACGCGAGTATCTTCCCATGACGCGGAGCACTGTCATAGCGATTGCCGCTAGTCACACATCAAGCGCCCTCGCCTGAGCGTAGTGACACCGTCCTGACATGAAGCGCGTGCTCGTCAGTAAACCCACACGGTGTGACGTACTTTGTCACATGGCGACATTTTGTTTGTCAGTGGTGTGACATCCTCCGCGGGGCCCAGCCGTTGTGGTTCCTTTTACCCCCTGTCCTAACCTTCAGGACTGAATTAACCGTCCTGTCATGCTCTCTCTCCCGACATGGCCGCCCAAGGTCGGTGCCCCGGCGGGCATGACCACTCGAGACGGGCGCCCCGGCTGACATGTTCCACTCTGGTGTTACCTCCAGATGACATGACCACCCTGGTGTTACCTCCAGTTGACGTGACCACCCTGGTGCAACGTCCAGCTTACATGACCGCCCTGGCGTTGTCCCCACCTAACATGACCACCCAGGTGTTATCACCAGCTAACATGGCCCTCCTGGTGCTACGTCTAGCTGACATGACCGCCCTGGTGCTACCTCCAGCTGACATGACCACTCCCGGCGCCACCTCCAGCTGACATGACCGCCCTGGTGCTATCTTCAGCTGACATGGCCGCCCCGGCGGCACCTCCAGCTGATGTGACCTCCCGCCATGTAGCCTGCCCTGCTGACGCGCCGCGCCCTCGCCCCGCAGCGGACGCCGTTCAGCGAGTCGGACTCGGACAGCGAGCTGGGCGCGTTCTTCCGGCAGTGGCAGGCGGCGCCAACGCTGCCCACGGTGGCGGAGCGGCGCCGCTCGCTGGGCTCGGCCGCGCCCGCCGTCGACCCGCAGCTCGTCTCGCTCACGCACCAGCTGCAGACGTTCCAGCTGAAGTCGCGCGAGTACGACGAGATGATCGCGCAGCTCTCGCAGACAGAGCTGGACGGCAAGTAGCCGGCTGTGCGCCGCTCTCAGGGACTGCGCCGCGCCGGCGGTCGGCGACGGCTGTGCTGTGGCGTCGCGACGGAGCTTAGACGCGTGAGAGGCCTGTGTTGCGCTCGCGCCGTGTTGGTGTTCGCTCGACTCCGCTGCCAATCTGCCGCAGTTCGCTGGGGCTGGGGCGGCCTCGGTCCGCCGCGAGGCACCGGCTCCGCCGCCGGCGACACGCCCTCGTACCGCCTTCGTGAAGTTTATTTGGGCAGAATTGCCCCGTCGCTCGCGGCATGCTGAGGACGCGGCCCGTCGGGGCGTGCGGCGACACACAGTGGTTCGTACAAGAGAGCAGGCGGCCGCTGCGGGAAATACACGAGTCGACCCCTGCTGGCTGCGTCGCCCGGCCCGACAGGCGGCCGCCACCGCCCGCGCGCGCGACATGAGAGGTCACGGTCTACCGGTCCGGCCCGCGCGGCTTGGCGCAGACAAAACGGACCGTAATAAAAAGATCAAAAATGACTAGCGTTCATCCTGACATGTGGTGTTCGCGGTCACACAGCGATACGGTGCAGAGGTGCGAAACGAACTCACGCGAACAAGTCTCATTATCGCGCACTACGTCACGCAACACGTGTCATTCACAGGAAACGGGAAAAAGGTGATGAGCACCGTCACAGTAGTTCACAATGCAATCACAAGCAACAAGCGGTGCGATTCTGGAGCGTAAATTCAAATGCACAGCAGGGCAGAATGCGCGATTGAAACGCGACGCTATGGTTTGACCTACGGGTTGCATACATAATGTCCTTGATGTCATTGGCGACAGTCTACTGGAAGCCCTGGTCTCAGGGCGGGCGCGCATATCGGCACCAACTGTCCACATCCGTTATCGTACGATTGACGTCAAACTCCAATCTGCTCGGGCAACCCCGAATGCACGCAGACAATCGGAGATGTGCCCAACATAGAGCCGGAGAGGATGCCCCACGTGGTTTGAATGTCTCCACACGCAAGATGGGATTTTTGGGTCGCTTTGGGATGCGAATGAAAGTTTGTCTTGGCATTTCATATTCGGAGCGGAAGAAATCTTATCGTTCCTGAAATAACGACCGTGTCGACTGGAGTGTCACATATCTCATTTCATGGCATCGATACATTCTTGATGCAAAAGTGAGAGGCCCAAAGTGTTCTCAGCCATCGAAATTTCCCTTCTGAACGACAGCGTCGGATGGTATACACGGTTCTCGCGTTCGCCCATGAAGGGAAAGGCACAGCACGGGAAATGGGAGGCATGGCATGCTCGTAACGGAATTTGGCGACCAGGAACAAAGCCCCCATCATCGCTTATTCTCGTAACTCCATCAATGCATTTTCCCGAGTGCGAGTCAAACACATTTTTCCCATCCATTATTGGGTCGAAGTCCCCGGACTACGGTCTGCACTATTAGCACGAACCGGGCAGGAAAGGGTATTGACCCGCGAACGTATTGAACAGTAGCATCTGCCCGTGGCTCATCATGCCCGAAGGTCAATGACGAGGTCCCCCGCCGCCACACCCGTCCGAATGGTGACTCGCCCAGACCCCATCTCGCATTGGCTTGAAGTGAGAAGACTAGGCGAATCACACGGCGCGTTTAGCCTCCAAGGTAGCCGCTATCCCACCGGGTCCGCAGCATGGTTCAATGGGAATCTGATGTGGGCAGCACGGATTTCGGACAACCCCTCCCGCCCTCCTGGGACAAGTTTTAGATCTGGTGAAGACTCGGGGACAGTTAGAGCGACACCAGAGACGCAGTACAGTGCCCCACGAAAGAGAGGGCGAGAGAGAGAGAGAGAGAGAGAGAGAGAGAGAGAGAGAGAGGGAGAGAGAGAGAGAGAGAGAGAGAGAGAGAGAGAGAGAGAGAGAGAGAGAGAGAGAGAGAGAGAGAGGAGGAGAGAGAGAGAGAGAGAGAGAGAGAGAGAGAGAGGAGAGAGAGAGAGAGAGAGAGGGAGAGAGAGGGCGAGAGAGAGAGAGAGGGCGAGAGAGAGAGAGGGCGAGAGAGAGAGAGGAGAGAGAGAGAGAGAGAGAGAGAGAGAGAGAGAGAGAGAGAGAGAGAGAGAGAGAGAGAGAGAGAGAGAGAGAGAGAGAGAGAGCGAGAGAGAGAGAGAGAGAGAGAGAGAGAGAGAGAGAGAGAGAGAGAGAGAGAGAGAGAGAGAGAGAGAGAGAGAGCCGGGGTCTTACGGCCCCGTCAGCTCACGGGTTCATGCCCTCTCTCCGAACCATGCTCAATAAACAACCACAATACTTCACTGAAACGGTACGACTCGACACGAGTAGGAACCCATGGCGATGACGACGTGACAGAAACCCGTCGCAATTATTTCGATATGAAAGAAACCTGTGACGGCAAATACCAACTGTCATCACAGCTGCGTTCAGACCTGGACTGAAAGCTGACCCAGGCCAGACCTGGGTAATAATATCTTGGGAACTTCCCTCGGTAGCCAGATGTCCTTCCAGCACGCATCCCAGAGGATGCAGGGGTTACTGGAGCCCCGATGCAGTGAAACAAGCGTACAACCGTGGACCGGGCCTGCCGTCGCACAGGGAACTTGAGATGGATCCATGCGAAACTGGAATGTGTGAGACTCGAACATAATGTGGTCGACGTTCCGCAGAAAACTATCTCGGTTCGGCTCAGACCACGAGGGATACACGCGAAAACCGCATGAGTAAAAATGTAAAGCCACGGAGCACACTTCATGTCTAACAAGCATTGCTATGGGGCCCACGTTTTCATTGGCTTCACAAAAACAGCTGCATAGAATCGAATAGCTATTCAATCTCAGCACTGCATAATTCAGGTTGTCTTTTTTCGAAGTAAAAAAACATGCACTTAACGAACTAAATACACCAAAATAAATCTCAAAAGCGGAGCAAACGGCGAGGAAACTGACGCGTTGTTTGTCGCACGTCGGCCGTGGCCGCGGCCCATCCCGTTCCGGACAGGGTAGAGCACCGCACCACCATAGCCTGGCGCTGCCCTCAGCCGCGCAGCTGCAGCCGTCTGAGCGATCCGACCGCTCACCGCGCCCGCCGAACGGCCGGCGGTCCGGCGCCGTTTGGGCGTCGGCCGCCACGCCTTTGATTGTCGGTACCGACCGCCAGAGAGACACCAAGGAAGGGCGCCGTCCGCGGCGGACGACTCGGCTGCGGGCTGAGCCGGGCGGCGGCGGCCAGGTGCGCGCCTTCCGCCCCGCCCCTCGCTCCCACGCCGATTACCGCCCAGCCGCGCCGGCGACGCACGCCCAGGGCCGGTCGTCGATGGCGGCGAGGCCGCACGAAAGACCCGCCCGCCGCCAGCCCCCCCGGGGAGTGGCGGGCGACACGCCGGTCCACGCCGACGACACGAGAGCGAGTCAGCACACGAGACAGCACGGCACACACGTGAGAGTCGGGCGAAGGCTGTGCGGTGCGGCAAAAGGCCTGAGAAACGACAATCAGTGCAAATGTCTTGAGAACGACCCTATGTACATGGAGCGCGAGTGCTCGTCGCAGCGGCGCTTGAGACGGGACCTGGCCACCTCCCAAGCGCTGGTCGGTTCAGAGGGCGCCGGGCGGCCTTTGTGACGCACTCCAAGGCCGGCGGCGGTCAGCAGCTGGACTGAACCGCCCGCCTCCCCGGACTAGCTCGCTCCGGCGATGTAGTGCGCTCGCTCGCGATGCGCCTGACCGTGAAAGTGAACCGCACAGCCACCGGGCCCGTGCCCGGCCGCTCAGGCAGACCAAACAGCAGCCAGGCCCAAACAGTCAGGACGTCGACGTTCAACCCGACGCGCAGTGACGAGCGAGTGGAAAGCGAACCAGAAAGACGTCGCGACGCCTGATGACATAATGCACAACCCACGAGCGAATGCTGCGCCAGCGGGCACTGGCAGTATACCCACACGGTCCCCTTTCAACTTCGGCGCAGAACCCAACAAAAAGTCGCGTTGGATCCGCTGCTATCTGGTCTGAGCTCGGCAAGCCACGCAGCCAGCTGAATGCTAGGAAGGATCACTAGCACTGGACTGCTGACTCCCACCGCGCAACCGAACCATCGTGGCGCGCGTGTGGTGCAGCGACGACGATGACGACTCTCACTTCAGCCATGACTCAGCGGGGGTTGACGATAGTCACCATAACACAGCCTCACACAGATCAAGCTCAAACCAATCACGTAATACTGCTCTGAACACAATTCAAATAAGTCGATTCGTAATTCGCCGACCCCCCCCCCCCCCTCAGGCTTAATTACAGTTGCCGATAAGCTTACCACATCCCATTTGTCATCACGCGACTACCGGCTTATCCGTATAGTATTCGATTCCTTCACCACCTGCCACCCGGGACCCGCCTTGTACCATCATTGACTATCACCGGGGATTGCTAGCATCAGGCTGGGCGTATGACCTCACGTAAAATTGGCAAAATCAAGGTGGTCAAACCCGCCGATCAAGCGCTCTCTAACAAACAAACTCAAACAAAACGTCCCAAAAACCACTTAACCCTATCAGTATCGTGAGAGGTAACTCCTTGTACTAAGCAAAGTCAAGCACCGTAACGGGACGGCGTGGCGCCGCGGGCCGCGCGCCCGACCGGCGCCACTGAGCGGGAGTCCGAGACCGCCGCCGCCCGCGGGCCGGCGGCGCGACTACGTTCGACCAGAATCGTTCGGCTGAGATCGGGAGGGTGTCCCGACGGCGGACCAGCCGCAGCTGCCGGTGCGCGGCCCAGACTGAGGACGGCCGCTCACCGACCGCCACGGTTCAGAAACACGCCAGCACCCACCCACACACGCGCTGATTGAACGGTACTCGATCGCTGACGGCAGGGGAGGTCGTTGCGTCCGCCCAGGACTGAGGCCAGCCCTGCGCGGCGGCGGCGAGCCCGACCACCGGCCGGGGGGAGGGGGAGGGGTGCACAGACCGACCGCGTGCCACCGGGGGAGGCCGTGCCGCTAGTCGGTCTTGAGTGGCGCGCCCGTGCCGTTGGCTGTGACGGGCAGCGGCCGGCCGACGGTCAGACAGAAGTCCGGGATGTCGCGGATCACCAGCACGTTGAACACCATGATGCAGGTGCAGATGCAGTACTCGCAGAACGAGAACCACGATAAAGCTGCAATAAGACGGACGCCGGTTAGGCGGCAGAGAAACGCTCAGCAAGAAGCATATAAGAGAAGCAGCCGCCCATCGCAGTGCCAACGCATCGTCATAAAACGAAACACACGACAACGTGATGTACCGGGTTGGATTCCCCGCAGCGTCCGCCCTTCCTGCCAAGATGAGAGGCAGGCGACGCCATACAACTTCAGCAGCTGAGTACTCCGTAAGGCCCCAACGACACTGACACATTGACACACCTACACACACGACAACGTGCGGTTAAGTCAGCACTGCGACGAACACCCCATTACGCGGTATCCGGGTACAGCACCGGTCCCTACAGCGGTAGTGAACCCCGCATGCACAGGTGATCCTTGATCGATCAGCCACTGCGCGACCCACAAACACGCGGCCCGAAGGCGGGCGTCGACGGGGCGCCAACGCTGTCGCCGCCGCCGGTCACAGGCGGACGGCCGACAGCCGCGCGACCCGCGGCCGCGGCCGCCCGTCCCGGCGGCTGCTCTAACATATTTCGCTTCACCCGGCGGCCTTCAGGACCGCCGACCCGAAGCACAGCTCGCTTCCGCGACGTTGCGGGGGGGGGGGGGGGACAGCGGCGCGAGCGGGACAGGAAAGGGGGGGGGGACGAGGCCGGTGCAGACAGTCCCGTCTGCCCATAGGATCAATGGATGGGTCGTAAAATTCCAACGGCCGCTCGCTCACATCGCAGGGGGCTGCCGCCGACCCCCGCTGCCCCGCCGGGCGGTCGAGCGCCATTCACGACGCCGTCAATCGTTCGGGCCAAAACGGAGTAGCGACGAGAGTCCAAGCAGCGACGGCCGGGCGACACTCGGGCGGCCAGGCGACAACGCCCTGCGACCGAGGCTCCCGGGCTGCGCTGTTTGGCACACGTCGGCCGGTATGACGGCCGGCCGCGCCTTCCGTCCCCGCTCCCCTCTCGTGCTCAGTGCGGGACTCGGGGCTGACGCCCGACTGCACGATTTGTCGGGTCCGCGTCGGACGTGGCGGCATGGCCTGTCAATTACCACCAGCGCCTCCGGGGACGATGTCGAGTGTGCTGCACGCCTGGTCGGCCATCGGACTGGCGGGATGAGTAACGTGTGCCAGCGCGCCGAGATACGGTGGGAGCATTCGTACCTGACCAGACAGGTCCCGGGATACAGCGTGATGTGTGGGACAGAAATATAGAAACCAAGGCCGAGCGTGTCTGGATGCAACGATACAAACACACGAAACGAACCAAAAGGTAGGCTTCCCTCCACCGGTACTGTCCCGGGTCTACATAACTGTTCGCTAATCAGATTTGCAGCCGATAGACGTCACACGTCAGATGGTCCGGACATCAGCAGTGGGCAGTGGACGGCAGGCCAGCTTCCAAGCGGCCTTGACACCGCCTTCGCATATTACGTATTTGAGTTGAATCGGCACAACTTCGCCACATCTCAGGCCACGCGGCAGTCCTGCGGCGGCGGATTCTGCGGAGATGAGGATCCCTTCTCCATCACATAGCGGGGACTCCCCGGAGCGGAGAGTGGCCGACGCCGAGGACGAGCACTCACCGAGCTCCTCGCAGAAGAACCGATGCTTCCAGAAGTAGTAGAGGAGGCCGAGCAAAAGCGACGCGTACACCAGCACGATGGCCACCTTGCAGCGCGCTGAGGTGCGCTGGGCGGCCGTCATGTGCGGGTAGGCCAGCCGCTCGACGGCCAGTGCCAGCAGCATGTACGTGCTGCACGACAGCAGGAAGAACGAGAACAGCTTCTCGTGCACCGCTGCAACACAGCGCGCCGCGCCCGTCAGTGGCGGCGCCGTCGCAGCCTTGGAGGGCGGGCAGGTAAGCAGCGGCTGGGATCTGTTCCGGGGGGGGGGGGGGAGGGGGGAGCTGAGCGGGATATCGGTCGCATCCTCATCATCGGTGAACCGAGCGCATTGGATAGGAGAGCTGAGCACGTGACCGACGCGCGCACATGCGTGGCAAGGCACCGGTAGTGCAACCACGACGCAATTGCCGAGGTTTGATAACACAGGACAAGAGGCGCGATGTCGGAGGAACACTTCTAGGCAGAGAACAAAAACGCCGCACACCACGGCAAACCACGACGCAATTGCCGATGTTTGATAACACAGGACAAGAGGTGCGATGTCGGAGGAACACTTCTAGGCAGTGAACAAAAACAACGCACCCCACGGCAAGCCAGCATCCCGCAACCCAAACAAAACCCTACCCGAACTCAGCAACTATAGAGGCAAAACATGCGAGAACACGTCCGACTCCAGCCATCGACCACCGCTGAACTCGCGACGACCGAGCAGCGGCCGCAGCCGTGACGGCCCACCGACGCCGCCGCTACTCACGATAGTTCTCCTTGTTGGAGACGTAGGTGACGCCGGCCAGGCTGGCCAGCTCAGCGGTGTGCACCCAGAAGGCGGCGCGCACCAGGCGCCGGTAGAGCAGGCGGCGCGCGGCCGGCACGCTCGCCAGCTGGCGCATCCAGTGGTTGTAGCAGACGACGGCGAAAAGACAGCGCGGGATGATGTGCACGGCCATGCAGAGCCGCCACAGGTAGCGCTGCGGACTGACGCCCGTGATGGCGCTCACAGACGGGATGAAGTTGTACACCTGCCGGTCAACAGCCAGCGGTCAGCAGGCGGCGGTCAACGGCCAGCGGTCAGCGGTCAACGGCCAGCGGTGAGCAGGCGGCGGTCAGCAGTCAGCGGTCAGCGGTCAGCAGGCGGCGTTCAGCGTTCAGCGTTCAGCGGTCAGCGGTCAGCGGTCAGCGGTCAGCGGTCAGCGGTCAGCGGTCAGCGGTCAGTGGTCAGCGGCCAGCGGTCAGCGGTCAGCAGGCGGCGGTCAGCGGTCAGCAGGCGGCGGTGAACGGCCAGGGGTCAGCAGTCAGCGGTCAGCGGTCAGCAGGCGGCGGTCAGCGGTCAGCGGTCAGCGGTCAGCGGTCAGCGGTCAGCGGTCAGCGGTCAGCAGGTAGCGGCGCGCACCGGTCGCACCACGTGAGCCGCTGGCAGGCTGGTGTGTTGGGACGCGCCGGCAGCCGTGGTTGTCTGGCCCCACTGCACGGGTCGAACTGCCACTGACAGTCACTTGGGCGGACTGTGTGTGATGCACTGGTACGCAGCCTAGATCCACAGCACACCCGCCGAAGGCGTGCTGTACCAGTGGTTCGATGAGACAAACTTAGAGGAGGTTTACGCGGCGTTGTCTGTTTGCGACAGCACAAACAGAAAAACATTCCGCTGCGCCCTCGTAAACTTCACACGCCCCAGCACACTCCACTTAAGCGTTACCAAAACACCGTCAAAACTCAACATAAAACCGACAACCGTGAAGAGCCTGTAGCGTATCAGCGTGGCTGTCCCGTGGCGGCCGAGGGACGCACCGGACAGCGCGTGCGGTTGATGTCCTCGTGGAAGATGTTGGCGGTGACGAAGCAGGCGATCATGCCGAGCAGCGGGATGCTCATCACCAGGTTGCTGAGGGTGCGCAGGTTCAGCCGGAAGCTGACCTGGTCCAGAGTCGCTCTGTCCATGGCCGGCCCTGCCCGGACATAGGAGTGGCGCCGGTCAGCGACGGACGGCCGCCCACCCACCCGGCTCCGATTGAAGGCCTGGGCCATGGCGTCGGAGCTTGTTCGCGGCGGCGTTATTGCTGGCAGTGCGGCAGCGATGTCACCGCCCACCACTCACCACTGCCACTGACACGGATGCCAGGCATATGCGCTGCTCATTGCGGCGACACGGAGCCTTTCTAACAGAACCGGTGCATTTGTCCGCATTGCTATACACAAAAATCCCGATCATTCATCGATAAAAAGGCCGTAATTTCCATATCCTCCCAGGTGGTCCATTCAGGATCAACCGGTCTGTATTGACCACAAACGGCGGCATTCAACCCCGCTGCCCACACACGGTACGACGCATACCGGTCCATGGAAGTGCTGCACCCAATATAGCTCGCGCTGGGCGGCACTCGCTCCCGCTGGGCACAGATCGCGCTGATAACAGAGTGCGTGCTCACGGAAATCAGCGCCGTAAATAGTGTGGAAACATTCCCCATCCATCGCCAACAGCCAGAATGTACGCTGGCATTCGCTGAAATGGTTCCCCAAACAACCGCTGTCGTCTGGGCACCTACCGCTGATGGGACGTACCATTAATGTGTAATGTGCATTCACTGGGCCTTGCCCGCCACTCAAAGTTGTAAACAACGTAGGTAGATTTTCGCCACATCCCAGCCAAAATGTATTCAACAACCCGAAACGCAGCAAGGCCATCTGGGCAACATCACAGCCTAGGCTATATACGTCACTGAAAATGCACATGAAATTGACGTCTTAATTGCGCACCCTCTATTTATCGCGCCCGTTCGCAACGCGTATGCCACCTCGGAGGCGTGACTTGTCCTGCGCCGCTTTACGACTGCACCCCAGCAGCCTCAGCCCGGGTCAACAAACAGGGCCGGTGTAAACACGGCCCGGCTGCAGGTGGCCACCGCTGGAGGGGTGCCACCTGGCCGGGCGACAGCCGACCCCGCCGCCGTGGCGTCAGGGGGGCCGCTGCCGCTGTACCCGGCCAGGTTAAACGGGACCCACTGCCGCCGCGGCGTCACGCGGGGCCGCCGCCGCCACACCCGTCCAGGTCAAACGGGACTCCTCGTTTCCCAGCAAATACAGGGTAGCTCCGGATCCGTCATCCGTCATCGAGCCGCGCCGTTCGTCATCGAACCGTGATATCCGTCATCGAACGGGGATATCCGTCATTGAACCGTGCCATCCGTCATCGAACCGTCCTATCCGTTATCAAACCGTGCCATCCGTTATCGAACCGCACCATCCGCCATCGCCGTCACCTGAATTGACGTGGCGTGGAAGTCGGAAAGTACCTACACGAGACATGGGCGACACACTTGTGCGCAGTGCAAAGGTGTATACAAAAGTTTGAGATGAGACAGAAGTATTAACCTTATTCCTCGGAAAAACCAGGAGAATGGAGATATGGTTGGGTAACTCTCCTGTTCTTTTTTCTCTCCGAGGACTAAGGCTAATACTACTGTCTTATCTATGTGAATAATGTTCCTCGCTAATGCACTGAATAACTTCACGTAAAACGTTTCAGACTAAGTTCACGGAAGATCGGGCCGCACTTGTCACCTTTACAGGACCTCTTTCGCATATCCAGTGAGCGTACTCAGTCGTCGTCGACGATACCGAGTGCTGCTATGAAATGGGCGACCTTCTAAATCTTCTTGCAACATTCCAAGCGAGACTGCCACAGGTCGAGCGAGTCTCAGTTGAACTATAATCACGTTCGAGCTTGAGCGGTTCGGCCCTATCCGGAAGCTGAACCCTTTGCAACCACGGATCACGATGATAGCGTTTTCGGTTTTCAACATAAAGAGGGCCATCCCTGAGGTGTGCTGCACGCGTTGTTGGGTGCGCGCACCCAAACTGCTGAATCGGGCGGCGTCTCCCTGGAACATTGGAATATCACTACCATGCCATCTCTCCCACTTAATTTTCGGTGCCACGTTCCCCCTTCAGTTTACCATCCCATCCCTCCCACGGTCTCGCCGATCTCGACGATCAGATCTCTGACCAGATCTCGACTACACCTCATCTCAGTGCTACAAGACCAGTACTATTGGAGGAAAAAACGGGCGGTAGCACTGGATAAAATGCGGGTCACAGTATGCAGACAAGCTCTCTTTGTCATTGTGAAAACTGTGGATCAGCCCATTTGAGGGAGTCTCCATGCAAAAGTGTCAGAGTTAAACAAGTGGAATAGATGAAAACCTGAAACAAATTGCACTGTGTATAAAGCTGGTTTCATACTAATCTAGTGGTTAAAACTCACCAGCAGGTCTCAAAACTCTTTGCCTGGTATGACAATATACTGACAGAAAAGTGGCTGATGTCAGATCATTGATGGAATGGTGGTGAATGTCACCTTCCCTGACAATAATCTTAACAAAATAATATGGCCTTACCCAAGGAAAACTACAGCATCAGAACCAAAGAGTCCTGTTCATTATAACCAATATTTTTCAAAACAATTAAGTTTTTAGATGCCAGTGCTCACAGTTGTGAAAGCTACGAATCCTTGCCACTTCATCAATGTCCTCAATCTTGACAGCCTGCCTGACCATATGCATTGCCAGTCAATTATGAAGCAGTTTTAGTGTGAATTGGCATGCAGTTGAATGAGCCCCCAGATATTAAACCAGAGGGTCTCCACCTCCCTGATTCTTATGAAAAGTATCTTGAAATGCACAAAAAATAAACCCAATGCCATTCATGCCAAAGGTGTTTGACTCTTTGGCCATATTCTTTGCAGTCTACTTGAAAATAACTGACAACTCTCACATCTACTATCACCTCACTCATTCCATGTTACACAAGAAGCCTTAATCACCCTTGCATGACTTTTAGGGTTAAACAGACAGCATACCTACCACACATCTGTTTTGCTAGCCAATGCATTGCAGCCTTGCACTTACCTGAGGTCACAATTGTCATATCAATTCTGCCTCTAAGGTAATTATTGCTCTATGATTGGCAGCCGCCAGCAGATTATTGGTACCCCATCATTTTTGACTTGTTTCCTTGAGCTTGTCCATCATTCCCTTGCACCCTAGATGAAAAGAAACAGGCATCAGTAAACATGTGCATGACAGCTATATGCACAACAGTGGCAAACACATGACACCCATGATATTCATATACCAAGCTTAAGAACTATGTTCCTGGAAACATAAATTTTAATAAAGGCTTACATGGGATACCATAGTCATGCAGTATCACCATATCCAGCTGACCTTCCTGCTCCCCATCCATCATAGATACTGTGATGACCCATCATGCTTAGTCCTTGTTTGATCAACACAACATACATGGCACTGCCTGATTAATGCTGACCACTGTTTGTAAGTTTGTAAGCTGTTTGTAAGAGGCCTGAAAGCCAGGGTACTTTGACCATCAGTGATGTGCCAGATCCAATGTCACTGTTTGTAAAAGGCCTGAAAGCCAGGGTACTTTGACCATCAGTGATGTGCCAGGTCTACATCACTGTTTGTAAAATGCCTGAAAGCCAGGGTACTTTCACTATCAGTGATGTGCCAGGTCTACATCACTGTTTGTAAAATGCCTGAAAGCCAGGGTACTTTCACCATCAGTGATGTGCCAGGTCCCAGATGACTGTAAAAGGCCTGAAAGCTGAAAGCTGCCAGGTCCCAGATCCCTGTTTGTAACAGGCCTAAAAGCCCATGTACTTTGTCTATCAGTGGTGTATCAGGTCCCAGATCACTGCTTGTAAAAGGCCTGAAGGCATAAAGCTATCACATATGGCAAGTTTAGCTGTCAAATTCTTCAAAACACATTAGGTCACCATACAGTCCTTACTTGATTTTGTCTTGGTGAGTAAAATATCCAAATTATTGCTAAAATGAGACTTAAGATTTGTAATGTGCATAATATCTATTGATTGCAGAATTTCAACATTGACATGGTGCAGATGTTATCCACTACTTAATTGGCACCAACTGGGAATGCAGTCTTTGTTTCTTTTATTATGTATCTGAGATGACTAAAAATTTATTGGGATAAAAAAACACCAAATATACCCAAAATGAATGAATTATGACAATTGATGAAAATATCTAATGCACTATCAAAATACTACTTTCCCCAAAATGTGATAACTAAGGAATGAAGTGAGCAAGGCAGGCTCATTTAACACCATGCATGTGTCAACACACAGTATATATAGCCTGCGCCTAAATTATCTGCATGGAGGGGGAGGAGCTTTGGTGCAGCATAGCAAAAGCAAGCAATGGGAGATTTCAGGCAGCATAATGTCATGCTCAGGTGCTATTAGAAACTAAGCTAAAACCCAAAATGTTGTAAGGCCTTAAGGCTAGACACTATTGCATTTCTCCTTCTCCTTCACATATTGCATTTATTTACTCTGATGGAAATGTCAAAATGTACAGTATACATACAAGTACAGCCTGCCCACTGGACATCACTCAGACACATGTGCAGACAAGACTGCATGTATCAGTCCAGGGGAAGAGCATGAATATGATATAAACCTGGTAAGCTTAGCACGTACCAAGTATCAGGTACCCAGATGCATATTTCCCAAGCACCTGAATGTGGAGCACCTAGCTTAGATGAGGCAGAAGTGGCAAAAATGTACAGCACACATAAAACACAGACTACCCACAGTACATCAGTCAAAACACACATGCACACAAGACTGTAGGGATAAGTGCAGGGGAGAGGAATGAATATGATATAGCCCTGGTAAGCTTAGTAGGTACCCAGGTATTAGGTACTAATACACATATTCCCCGAGCATCTGGACTTGGAGCACCTAGCTTCAAAACACTCCAAAACGCACGACTTTCTCAAACGATATTGAAAGAACGGGAAGGCACACTGTCAGTTTCTTTTCTTAAATGGTATGTACTGATGGTACAGTGAACCTTTTCAGGTAGTTACCAGAATGAGCCTCCGACCTCGACATCTCCCGACTCCGCGCTAGCCGCACCTCACTGCAACGCGCCTAGCTGGTGTAGCCCGTTCCTAGCCCACACACACTCTAGGCACCGCCTGGGCATGCTGCGAACGTGGCGCAGACGATCATGAAGGTCTACTCTTTGCCAATCCTACCGGCTGATAATGACGTCATCAATATCCTCAAGGCATTCACTAATATCAATCCTGTTTGTTACGTTGTGGTTCTGCTCCTCCTTTCTTGCCCTCTTCCGTCATAATTCAGTTCAACTCGATAATTGGAAACATTCCCTGCGCCCCCAGCTCTTTTCCGTGTTATGTCACGCTGTCCATTCTGTGTTATTGATTCAGAAACCGAGCCAACATGCTTAGCACATGTTTTGGTGGTATCAACAACCACTTACAAAGCTGTGTGATCAAAGTCTTTATTATTTAGCGCTTTCGTTCATCGAACATCTTTCTAATCCAGCTGCTTGGGATCTGCCTACGGGCAGTTCGTGAAATTGTGAACATATATTGATTTAAGCTAGTTATGACTGCATAAGAACACTGATCTTGTGTATGGGGTAATCATATTTTTGGACGTACCCTTACAATGTTCAGTGTGTGGTTTTAAAGCTACAGCTCTCGGAAGAAGGCCAAATCAGCTGCAGATTAATTGCCTAGTGGCGTCATCACCAGCTGGCGCTTTGCGCTTTGCACAGGCGTCATGCAAAGCCGCACCAAAGTATATTTATTCCTGTAGATAAAAAGCACCATCCCTGATGAAAATGTACTGCAAAGCTGCCAAATTAGAGTTTTTACGGTGCTTCCAGGCAACCACTGCCGTAAACACAAAACAAGCACACAATAAATACTTACTAGACACGGAAGTAGCAGGCGTGCTGTCGACACATAAACAAACGGCACATGACAAGAACGAGCCAGGGAGCCATATAAAAGCGTCGAAAAGAGACGTTTCTTTCAGCCTTCCATAATAAAAGTATGAACCTCGGCTCCTGTATGCTCCTATCCCTGCCTCCTCTTTGATTCCTGCACAGGCCAGTGTCGTCATCGCTCCACATGTAACACCCGTGTTCGCCGACTGTGGAGCATAACAGGATGATCTACGGTCAGCGCGGTCCGCGGGGGACATCAAAATATCAAGAGTTCATACTGTCCAATGGTCAAAACGTTCAAAATAGCACCATCCAGGGTTCGCAATGCCCAAAAATCATCCCATGTCTCTGGACAGAGGGGAATCATAGCATCGCAGCTCGCGGTATCTAAAATTACAACATCCAAAGTTTATGCTGTCCAGTGTTCATGACGTTCAAATGATGGGGATATTTCCTGGTAAATCTTAAACTATTGGTTGGATGTTACCCGACAGAAGGATATCGTATCCAAAATTGTCGTTCCATGCTGGTGAATGACGTCATGCGGTACAGTGCTGTCATAGAAAACCATTATATATGAACATAAACAACGTTTTGTTCATGCACTCAAACTTCACCGTGCCAGTCTGTCATCAGTAATAGGCGTATTAGAAGGATTGTTCCAAATTTGTATAGGGCTTTGAAATGAAATAATCTATACAATGCCGACGTAATAAGTCCCGTAATAATCTATATAGTAATAGTCTAAATAGTTTGAGCTGAAATAGATCAATCGGTGCAGTTCAGAACCTTGCCCTTCTTTAGACCTAAAACACTCTAGTTTCTGAGCTGCACGTCCACGAAGATGTGCAAGTTATCTACAGGCTACCCAGGCATCCATGACTCCATTTTAACGTATTGAGCTCCTGCCATTCCACTGGTCATGCGACGTTCAAGGTCAACAAAAACATAAATGTCGAGTCGTTCATATCTGGTGTTCGCGAGCATGGTCTCCAGACATAGCCGTCCAGTAAGCTCTCAACCAATGTTGTCCTAGCTGTGCAAGACTAACACGAATGGTTATATGAATATATGGATTAAAGGCCCTTCGACCAGTAATGGCCAGTCAAGGCTCTGGGATGAAGGAGACTGGACTACGGTGGGGAAGGGCTGCATGCACTGGGAGGGGGGGGGGGCAACCGCTGAGGTCTAGCCGCGCAAGGATCCATCTGCGGGATATCCGCTGGCGGCTCGGTTGGGGTCTCCCTGCAGGGAGGCATTCGTGGCTGGCGCATGCAGCCTGGCCCGAACAAGCGGGGCGTCGCAGGGATGCGGAATGGAGCACGAAAGGGGATATGGGGGTTGGATGATTCCAACGCGTGTTTTACTTTACTTTATTTGGTTTGAGGCGTTTCGGGCCACTCGACCACTTTACGACTTTGGAAGGGACTACTTCAAATCAAACTAAAATATGGCTTGCAGAAGGAAATAACATCAATATCTTGGTAACCCTTTACAGTGTTTGAGGCACACCGGTACGCCTAGAGAAAATCAAACAAAGATCAACAAGATATGGATAGTCATTACTTTTGAGGCACTTTTCGCGATAAGCGCAACGCCGTGGTGATGACGATACGCCTCGAGTGTCTTTTGCTGCTGTTGAAATTGGCCGCGTTCAAGTAAAATATGTTTAACTGAAATGGGACGACCACACAGATGCCACAGAGGACGAAGGCTTTGCAAATACAAATAACTATGTGCGAGCTTTGTGTGTCCAATTCGAAGACCAGTCGATACTTTCTGTGCGTTTTACTTATGGCCAAGGTGTAATTTCTGGTACCATGTCATGAAGTTAGATCCTAGCGTTTCCCGTCCATTGTCGTTGGCAAACTTGTGCCACATTGTGAACGTCTATGTTTTGTGCGCGTAAAAGAACGATAAAGGCTTATGATCTTGACCAGGAGGCGGTGAGTTAAGCCGAGAGCAGTAGATGACGACAGGACCGCCCGCGAATCCGAGCAGGTCACTACGGGTTTGGCCCTATGATCTGTCACTCGATGTGTTGCAAGGAAAGAAATAGGGCGAATAGTCCTGCAAAATGAACGGGTGCTCCATCCGGTAGTCCACATTTTTGTGAGTGATACGTATGGCAGAATACCGCGCATGCGGTGTGCCTTTCAGCCCTGGAGCCATTGGTAAAAATGAAGCAACAGTGATGAATTGTGCGATCACGCGATTAAGCCTTTGATGTACATAAGCTGCTGTCACGGCGCCTTAAATGTCAGTAAAAATAAACAAAAATTGTCTAGGTGTCAGCTGCCAGGGGGGCACAACTGAATCAGGTGGTACGGAGGCTCGCGGTAGAACACAGTGTAAACCGTGTCAGAGTATAATATTAGCGATATATAATAATATAGATAGATAGCGAGCTTGAAGACCTTTTGGTGCTGTTCACAATTCTGCCCTTTATAAGGCCAAAACCGCTCTAGTTCCTGTTCCATACGCCCGCGAAAATGGGGGAAGGCATTTCGGGGAGAGTATTTCACGGTCATTGAAATCCTGCCACTCAATAAGCCATGCATCGATCAAGGCCAAGAAAAATATAATTGCCGAGACGTCCATATCTGACGTTCGTGAGCGCGATTCTAAGATATAACGGCCATCAAATAACTCACAATCAATGTTGTGCAAGGTATGATGAGATAATCAAACCACGACGCATTGAGGAGGATGTTTACTAAACAGAGAATTGTGTCGTCTAGAACAGTCTTTTTCACTTAAAAAGATTCTCTTTAACTAAAAACGTCTATCGATCAGCACCGTATCTTAACGCCGAAATGCACCTAAAAAGATCATGTGTGTCATGCCTTTGGGGCGGACATGCCCGACGTGTTTGGACATAGACAATCTCGGGTCGTGCACGATGCCTATGAATTTGGGCGGTCAAACAAAAGGAATATTGCGACCGTCGAGTTGGAAAGAATATGCCGGTGTATCTCATCGTTTGTAGTGAAAATCATGATGGCCGAGTTTGGGCGAAAAAAAATGGAGACCATAACGCCCTGACGATTGTTGTTGCTTGTGTAGTGCGCGTTGAAGGCGTAGTGATCAGTGACCATATCATCTGATCATATCATATCATCATATCATATCATCGTAGTAACGAGTGACCACACCTGAGCACCAAATTCCGTGTTCATCAGCGAAAAGTGACTAGGATACGTCTGAAGCAATGCCATCAAATAAACAATCTAGCATACGTTGAAGAGCATTGGAGATATAAAGCTGCCGTGTGAAAGACCACTCTCTTGAATGTGAACATTAGAGACAGTCGACCGACACCTTACACGGAACGGTCGAGTTCCGGAGAGAAATCCCCCAAGGATGCATACACAGCCTCCCGCGGAGACGCATTCGCATTTGGCTGGTCTCACCTTTAGGACAACTTTCTCCAGCCTGGCCAGTACCTTATCCAGCGTTCGAAGATGTCCTCTCGTCTTGCTGGCCATCCAGATGCCGTTGAGACAAGCCACGACGCCAGGAACGTTACGCTGCACGTGCTCTATGTCTTTCTGAAAAAGGCTGACGGCTAAATTGATCCCAAACAGCAAACGCCGAGTGGCGCAGGAGATTTTTCGCCGTGTTTGCAGTAAGTATATTTCTGAGTCTTCATGGGCAGCGAGCTGGTTGTACGCCTGCGCTCAATCTACCATACTGAACACTTGTCCCCCGCTAAACGTTCACGTTGCGTGGGGCAGCGGATAGCTGTTCAGATTCGCCGCTCGCTTGGCTGAGAGCGTAAAATTCGTACAAACCCGGAAAGTTTTGTTCTTTCTCAAGACTGAACCCAGCGATGTTGCTCAGCTGCTGTGCGCCACGGACTCTAGAACTCCGACGGAGATGTCCTTCTGCAGCTGCTCCTCGATCCTATCCTTGAAGGCGCACGGCAGTGAAAGAGCTCCAGGGAGTATGGGCTGTACACTTTCGTAAATGTCAAGACGCAACTTGACGCTCTTGAGCTCATCCAATCCATGCTCAAACATCCAACAAGACCTGTGTTCCAAATCACCTACAGTAACATTTTCCACAGCATGCACTGCCCTCCAGTCGATTTTAAGCCATTTAAACCAGTCACAGTGCAATAAGCTCGCACGGTTCCCTTGCACCACCACGACCTTGAGCTTATCATGCTTTTGACCCTGTATGAAACGTACGTTCTG